GAGGGATCAGAAAGCAAAGACTTTGGAAATCAGTTACTAGATTTTGCAGAATCTTTTATTCATTCATTCATTCACTAAATGTCTACATTGTGCCATGCACTGTGGAAGCTTCTGAATATAAAATGATAAATGAAATAGTTAAAGCCTCTACCTTAGAGAGCTTGTAGTCTATCGAGGGGACAGATACTATTAAACATACACTCACCCACCCCCATAAATATATATGCATATATGTAAAATTACAAATTGAGGAAGTAAAGGCATAATAAGATAGTGACAGAGGGAGATTAATTTAGATTGGGGGGGGGGGGGGAGAGAGAACCAGGGAAGGCTTTCTGAAGAAATTATATTGAAGCTGAGACTGAGGAATAAACTGGAGATGCCAAGTGAGGTGGGGAAAAGAGGAGGGGAAAGAGGAGTAGTCCAGACTCAGAAATAGCAAGTGCAAAGGCCCCAGGGTTGAAGTGGAATTTAGTTCAGCCCTTTATCTTACAGAAGACTGAACTAAAACCGAAAGATGTTCACCAACTTGCTGAAAGTCAGTATGGCAGAGCTGAGATTCCAACTCCAATCTCCTCATCTAGATCTCCAATATAGATTGGGGATTGTCTAGCTCTCCATTCTAGAGCAACACTATGGATGTTAGAGGAAATGTGAAACTGTTTGCTATGATTCCAGAGAACTAAAAAAAGAGAAAGCAACCTGTAATCACATGAAACTTATTGACAAAAATGTTTTAAAAAGTCTCATTTTCTGTTCTTGGAAACTAGATGAATAATTATTAACATATCTGAGAAGCAGAAAGGATGATACAGGCCTCCAAATAATCTGACAAAATGTGAGGTTTTGTGACCTAACTGAAATGTGGATTCACATCATTTTTATTAGACTCCAAATAACAGAGCACAATAAACAGAAAAGGACAAGGCAATATAGTTCTCATTCTTCATTGTTTTTCCTTTTCCATCAAGAACTTCAGCAATAGCCATCCGATTTTTTTTTTAAAGATTTTATTTATTTATTTGAGAGAGAGAATGAGAGAGAGAGAGAGCAGGAGAGGGAAGAGGGTCAGAGGGAGAAGCAGACTCCCTGCTTCTCGATGTGGGACTCGATCCCGAGACTCCAGGATCATGACCTGAGCCGAAGGCAGTCGCTTAACCAACTGAGCCACCCAGGCGCCCAATAGCCACCCGATTTTTACATTCGATATTCTCTGAACTTTACTGCAAAAATACTCTACAAAAAACACCACTAAATGTTCGGGAGTTTTGTGTTTACTTTTGGTTTTTAAAAGAAGTAGAATTGCATACCGACAAATACCATGAGCAAATCTCAGTGAACAAATGATACTAGCCAATTTTCCATCAAGTTCAAACATTTGGGCTTGCGTTCATTTACCTGTCTGCGTCTCTAATTTCAAAACTTTCAGTAATCCATCTTCACCACCACAGGCTATGAATCCTTGGTCCTTGTTCCAAGATACACATTTCAGCTTCACGTTATTGGGAATGGCAATCTGAAAAGAACCACAGCCGCTTTCACAGCTTTTCACGAAGGAGGTGGCTAGTGACTTACAGATGAAGGTTAAAGAAAATCCCCACACACACACACCCCAAGAAGAAAAACGGTCCTTCTTGCAGAGTGTGAGCTGTGATGAAAATGGGCATGGCAGCATCTCCTGAACTGCCCTACCATTTGCGAAAGAGAAAAAAGTGCACACAAGAGAAAGGCACTGACCGCGGAGGAACCCAGTGGGAGAGTCACCTGATGAATGTTTTACAGGAAGGAAGAGGGAAACGAAGGTATAAATGCAGACCATTAGTCCATATTCCCTTTCCACACACAACACTTCGGCTACCCTTTTGTTATTACTTTTCTCTTGCCCGGCAGCCCATGACAATCCAAAGAATGTAAGGCACCTGGATCAACAATAGGTGGAGGAAAAAAGATAGAGAGGCACACAATGATCCGTCTTGCTGGCTCCCCAAAAAAGACCCAGCCAGGGGCAGGGATGGGAGAGTTGTGCAAGAGGGCTGCTGGCTCCGCCGAGATTTATCTGGGGTTCGGGACCGTCCGAGGCTGGCCGACGCAGGAAGGTGGGAGGCGGGAAGGCGAAGCTGGGGATCAGGACGCCAGATTTCGCCGGCAGGATGCGGGAATGGCCCGCAGGACGCGAGAACGAAGGGGAGGCGAGGGCGACCGCGGGAAAACTCACTTTCTTGCTCAGGTAAAAGAACATTCTGGGAACTCCGAGAGGACGAGCCCAGCCGTCCAGGCCCGCCAAAGGAAACCTGTTCTAATTCACCAGTCTCGAGTACCAGCAGCTCTCGGGAGCGCCCGTCGCCCTGGCAACCACCGCCGCCGGGTCGCATCCGGGGCGCCGAGGGACACTTCCGGCTTCGTCCTCGCTCGGCCGGGCGTCGTGCGCCTGCGCAGATGTCGGGGGTCTAGGACTAGCTGCCGACGCGGGGCTGAGCTCGTGGTTGGGCCTAATCGCTTTGTTTCTGGGCCTTTTTGCCCTGCGCCTGGGGTCAGGAGGGTGACCTCAGCGCCCCACCTCGTCGCCTTAGCTGTCCTCCTTTCGATTGGCTCGGAGGACAGGTCACACCTCAGCTGGTCGCGGTGGAACTTGCCTGAGGTGTGTGAACTCAGGAGCAAAGGCGCTCATTCAGATGAGGTCACAATGGTTGGGTATTTTAGAAGCCCCAAAGTCCCAGCATTGTGGAAAGGAAAGTCATTTACTGTATTTGGTGGGCTGGCGCCGTCCGCCAAGTGAAAGCGCGATCCTTCCCTTACGCCTCTGGGGTTTGGAGAACACTCTGGCACAATTTTGGGGTAGGAGATGGTGTTTATTTCTGTTTTAGAACTTTTTAACAGCTTATTTAAGCTGTTACTGCAGCCCAGTGGTTCATGTAAAAGGAATGTGTATGAGCTTTGGGCCTTTGCGGCATAGAATTGCCACTGGGGCATAGCCTTCCAGTTTTGAATCATTAAGTTTGGTGTTTGGTATTTTCTCGCCTGAGGTCGGCTGTTTTCTATCTCCTTTTTCTACCTTATTTCTTTCTTCAGTTCTCCCTTGTCCTTTTTGAATGCTTGGAGAGTTACAAAGGACCGCAATATGGGCACAGGGCAGAAACTCCCATGAAATTATTTTAGTCTAGCTCGTCTTTTAATTTATATCTGATTTTCCCTTTACTATATTCTGCGGCTATTGGTGTTGAGTTGTATAATCTAGCTCGTACTTTATGCAGCAGCAGGAGCCAGTTCTCCCACCTAGTCTTTCCGCATTTCAGGCAAATAATGTTCAGATCCTTTGAAGTGGGTCTATTACCTCACCCAGCACACTCAGGAATTGACAAGGGTCCCAGTGCCTTCCCCATCAAATCTAAACCCCAGCTAAAATTAGTTTTTCCTTCAATAGGGAAATGTCTTTACAACGGTGCCCCCATTCTAAGCAAGCCTTTCTGCCTCGGAGGCCATTTTATATGTTCCTACCCTCTCCGCCAATTGTGCCTAGCCAAATGTACAAATCAGGTCTCCCCAAGAAATTACTTCCAAACTTAACCCCCATCCCATTCAGATAACATGTTTGTTTTCAAATGTGTATCTTTTTTCAACGTCAGACTGTAAATTCTGAAGATACGTTGGCACCTGTGCACAAGGAGCTCCCTATACTGGGCTCATGAAACAAATCAGAATTACCTAAGCCAGGGGATTCCAATCAATCGGTGAAGTAGAAGAGATGATTAGTTGAAACTAGTTACAGATGGTCACACTCTTGAACAATCATCTCTTTACCTTCCCCTAGTGCTTGCACACGAGCTGGCATTTATTCCTTCTATAGCACCATGTGTCCATGACATATTAATAGATATTACCCAAAACAAAAAAAATAGATATTACCGATTCTGTGTTGAAATAAGTTTGGAAAATAATACTGCTCTAAGTCATCTTTCAAAAATGTTAAGAAATGACAATGTATGTTTATTTAATATATACTGCCTTGATGTATTTATTTTTCATTTCTTTAAAGTTTCTTTTTTAGATTTTAGGTTTACATCTGTAAGTTATATTTACATTTCAGGTGCTTATATTAATGTACTTCATTATTTTATCCAAATTTAGATAATTTTGTTTTATTCCTTCTCCTATAACATCCTTGATAAAAGCCTATTTAACCTGAACTTACATTTTTAACCTTAAAAGTATGCGATTAAATTATGGGAAGAGTTACAACATTGTGTCCTTTAACAAGAAATCATCATATATTCAAAGTAATTGTTAATTCAGTCTAAGGAAATATGTCAATAGTTGAAATTAAAAAAAGTCATGACAATAATATATAAAGATAGTAACTTTTTATTATACTAAAGACAATACAAAAAAAACGAGTAGTCACAATTTAAAGGACTCTTTTCTTCTAAAAACTATAAGCTTTCAAGCTGAAAAAAAAATACATATACCAAATATGTAAGTGAAAAAAAGTTAGGCTTAAACTTTAAAACTTTAAAAAGACATTAGGTTTGTTGTTACTTGTTAGAGCAATATTTATAAATATATAATTTTATTGATTGGATCCTAAAGTGAAACGGTAAAGATAATGTAGGATTTTTTTTATCCTTGGTAAAAAGTTATAACACTCTTAATTCAAAAGTAAAGTCTTTAGTTACAGGTTTGTTAATATTTCATGTAGTGTTCACTTGATCTAGATATGCATGTTAGAATCCCCTGATCACAGCTTCAGTAATACTCCAGCAAAAACTGAGCAAAAAACAAAGCGTTAAAGAAACAGTTCTAAATTATATTCACCTCAATTTAATTATATGAACTTTTTTATGTGTAAATACTTTGTATAATTTACACTCTCAATAAGACTGGTTTACACTATAAATACTATCAAGAGAAAATAGATCAAAAGTTCCCATTGTAAGAATGGTTATCTTACTAATATAAACGTTTAAAAATTAAATGGCTCAATTAGTAAATAAAGAAATACTAAACTTTTCATTCTATTTCCTACGAATCATTTCACAGTCGTAGCTTAGAGACACTAAAGTTTGCTCTTAAAGATGTGAACGTAATTATTTCCTTAAAAAAACAATACTGATTCTCCAGAAGATCCTCATACTACTTATCCAGTAATATTCAAGCATTTGCAATGGCAAATTATTAGCAGGAACATTGAAGTATGCAAAAATATTAAATACACCAAGCCCTCCGTATTTCCAGGTGAAAAATCTGAGTAACTCAACGATGTATTTGTCCATATTCATCTGCTTGCAACTTCCCCAAAATGTCATCAAGTGGCTAGTTGTTAAGGCCAACGCCTTTTATTTTTAGACATCACAAAACACAAACACACTTTCAAACACTCCATACAAGATAAAAGAAAATAATTACATTCTATTGTCAATAAAGAAAAAGTGAAACTATTCCTCATCAAAACTCTAAAACTCAGAAATTCTATTCTTTAGAGAGCATGTTATAAAGCAGTGGTCTTCAGAGATGATGATACAGAGCAGTTGTCTTCAAACATTTTTGTTCCTATCCCCTAAAATAATTGTGACAAATAAGTGATGTCTGTGCATATTTAAATTATATGAAAATTTTCATCATAAGTTTTAGTTACAAAATATGCAATTTCTGCCATAACGTAAGTATTGGTTTTTTATAAATAAAATCTAGGGGCGCCTGGGTGGCTCAGTCAGTTAAGCGTCTGACTCTGTTTCTGCTTGGGTCATGATCTCATGGGTCCTGAGATCCAGGCCTGCGTTGGGCTCTGCACTCAGCGGGGAGTCTGCTCCCCCTCTCCATTTCCCTCTGCCCTTCCCCACCACTCCTGCTGTCCCTGTCTCTCTCTGAAATAAATAAATCTTTAAAAAATTTTTTTAATTAAAAAATAAAATCTAAATTAGTCTTTCAAATATATCCTATATATTAATGCCATACTGAATGGATACCTACGTGTCTTTTAAAATCAAATATTTAAAATAAAGGAATTTGTATTTCCTTGTATTTCCTTTCTGCTTTCTCCACAGAATTTTGTTCTACTTTGAATCTTGAAAATCTTTTCTTGATCACCAAGACTTCTCTGAGGTAAATTTATAGAAACAACAAGCACATACACATTTATATTGAAACTACCTTTAAATTAATTTTCTTTGACCATAAGGCCCACAGTTTTTTTAATCATCTGGAATGAGTTATCATTACAACTATTATGGGCACATAATTGATCAAACAACAAATAAATTATAAATGTTGACATAAAATTATTAAAAATAAAAGGCAGTATTTAATTGGATAAGTGTCTTGTAATAAATTGAGGGAGTTTATGAAGCCTTGATTAGAAAACTGTTGAACTGTCCTTTTGTTTGGCTCTCTGGAGATTCTACTTTTCCAAGAAATTCACCTTAGAAGATTCAGGTTAGATAAGAGGTATGCCTTCCTTGTGTAAAGTTAGGAGAATGGCAAAATGAAGTGAGAGATGGGAACAGAGAATGCCAGCTGACCCCCTGTAGCATTTTTGGTAGGTCAATTTAAGGATTTGAAAATGGATTTTTGTAAAACTTTCTGTGCCCCCCCAATATCCCTATCACAGTTTGAATACCATTCCTCTAAGTTACCTAGAGACAGTGTTGTTAACTTGATCTAAGAAAAAGTACTTTTCCTGAATTACTCCTTTAGTTACAGAACTGATTTTGAAAGTTTCTTAGGTGGTACAATGTTACATTGTGAAATCTGCTTTTGACCAGTTGTCTAGAGCTATCACCTCACTCATCAGCTAACTCCTTCCGTACATCTACAGATTCTGAACTAAGAAAGCCCATATTAAGGAATCATACATAATAATTCCATCTGTTAATAACACAGTTAGCATATACTGCTATGGAAAAGCACTAGAGAAAGAAATAGGCAGCTTTTAGCATGTAAATATTAAATGGGCAAAACAGTCCATTAAAACATTTTAAAAGAACTCAAAAAAATAAACACTATTACTATTGCTCATCTTAAAACGTAATGAATAGGGCCCTTATCCTGTGGAATGTCCTAAAATCTTTGGCTCAATTGTACTACCTAGGATGGCTTAAAGCAGAAAACCTTCCAGAAAGGATATGTTTGGCGCTCAGTCTCTGCAGATATGAGTTGACCCTATCCTGGAATGCCAGTGTGGCTTCACATCCACAAGCATCTTCTGTGGAGATGAGTCTTCGTGCTTCTTCAATGGCTGACGACGACAGTACACAAAATGTTACAGCTAATTAGAAACTATAGCAAATCAGGAAATCTGTAATTCAGTCCTTCCATTTTTAAGACTTACCTAAATGCATTTTCCAGGAGGTAAAAGGATATAAGAGCACACAGAAAGAGGAGAAAATACTTTGAAATATTAACGTCACAGAAGAAATTGAATTTTGGGAAACATTTACAATCCTCAGACCTGAGTGTTGATTATCAGAGAGTTCATTGTATTCTCTATACTTTGTAAATATTGGAAACTTTCTATGATATAAGGTAAATTTTTAAAAAGTTGATGTAGGGGGAAGCCAAGAATGCAGAGCTAAGATAATCTTATTATGATACTGTGTCCTCATTAAGAAATGAAAATAAGGAAAAGAATTCTTTGGCCAAAATATTTCAAGAATTAAAATTAGATAATTCCTGATTTCTTATACAGACTATTATTCTGTTGAATGGTCTGAATTGAGAGTTCTAGTTCTTACCCATAAATACTTTGGAAGTAAAATTTTAGGTTTGTATCAGCATTTAAGCAAAGAACCTGGGAGAATGATAATGCTAACTCCTAGTTCTTTCTGAAATCCAGTGAAACAGCTATTCCTACTCACTATCATAGCCCCTAAAGTTGCCTAATAGAAATAACAGTAACTTCCCAGATCTGAAGACTGATGTATAATCTTCCATTGAGCAGTACCATCACCTGAGGACAGAGAATGGTCTTTTGCCTCCTATGTTTTCTCCCACATTCTACAAAGATAGGATATAGAGCTAACATGACCATAAATGTAATCTACCTACCTGTCCAAATCCTCTTGACTTTTAGGGACTTTTCTGGACAGCCAGCCTAAATCAGTCAGTAAGCCAGAAAGTATCTCCTGAAATTAAGTACATGCCCATCATCCCTATACAGAGCATATAATTGGCACTCGAGATGCTTTTCCAGTGTATCTTGCCTGATGAACTATAAGTTCTGTGAGGGCAAGGGCTCAGTAGGATAGTCTAATTAAAACACTCCCAGAAAACTTAAAAACTGGGATGTAGTGCAATTGAAAGATGAGAGATGGACCCATTCACAATAGCATCAAAAAGAATAAAATATTTAGGATTACATTAACAAAAGAAGTGCAAGACTTGTACACTACAAACTACAAAACATTGGTGTGTCTCCAGTTCCCTCCTCAAGACCTGACAGAGTACTAGATACATAAGAGTAGCTCCATGAATACTTGCTGAGCAAAGAAGTGAATGGCTAGGCAAATGAGGTCAGGACCTAACCCACCACAAATGAGGCTGGAATCCCCGTCTTCCAGGAGAAGAAAAAATGCCCAAGACTGATTTTTTTGAGGATTAAACCCCTAGATAGGGTAACAGTACCCTGACATATTCAAATTCTACAAGCTGTTCCCTATTATCCTCACCCTCCCCAAGAAGCGGATCCATACTTTACTTCAGCTGAAGAAGTATCTACTGAGTGTCAGGTGCTATGGAAGATGCTAGGAATACAGACAACATCTACTACCCTCAGGGGTTGGAGTTTACTGTCTACAGGAGCATAAATACACAAGTCTCAAACTCTGACTTTTCTCCCCAGATCTGCTTCACTCAGTCTTCCTCACCTCAACGAAGATTTCAGACTTCGGGCTCAAGTCTGAAATAGGAAAGTCATCCTCATTCCTCGCCCCTGTTTCCCAAATCCCATTTATCACCAAATCCTGGTCATTCTGCCTCAGAAAGGTATCTGGAATCAGCTTGCTTCTGTCACCACTGCCACCTTCCTCACCCAACCCGGGACCGCTGCAACAACGTCGGGCTGGTCCCAGCCCTCTGCTCTTCGTCCCCTCCGATCCACACAGCAGCTAGGGTGACTTGTGAAAATATAAACAGGATCATGCCGCTCCACTCCTTAAAACTCTCCAGTGACTTCCCAAATATAAACTCCTTCCCCTCACCCCAGAAGATCAGCATGACTCGGCCCCTGCCTCCGTCTCCAAAGTGACACCACACTTCCCCGGCTGGTGGTGCTTCCCTCACGCTGGCTGCCTCTCCCCGCCTCTCCCCCTAAAGCCACCGCGCGGGCCTTGGCATCACGCTCCCTCCTTCCGCCAGCACCCCAATCCCAACCTAACTACTGCTGATCCTCGGGTCTCAGATGTCACTTCCTCAGAGAGAGCCTCCCAACCTGAAGTAGGTCCCCCAACCCCCATGGTCTCAGGACCCTGTTCTTTTCTCATGGCTCTTCTTTATAAATTGCTATTTCCTTGTCTCTTCCCCTTAGACTGTTACCAAAGACCATACGCGTTCTGTTCACGATTATATACCTAGTGCCTAGAACACAGCCGGCGCTCTGTTGACCGAATGGACGATGGAATGGTTGAAGGAGCACACGAGTAACCCCAACACAAGGCGTCCTGGGCTGAAAGAGGACCGAGTTCAATGGAAGGAAAAGGGAAAAACTCTGGTAGAGGGGGTAAAATTGAACTAGGCCTGGGAATTAGAGAAACAAACATACCAACACTATTGTGTTCACACAAAGCAATTTAGAGAACACTTAGGCAAGTGATGAAGCATAATGAAAATAAACACTAATAAAGCTACCGCACAACTCAAGAATTAAAATATCATGAATACTGTTGCAGAGACATCATTTCAGTAAAAAATATAAACACGAGACGATATTTGCCACACATAAAACAACGAAGATTTGATATCCAGAAATGCGAAGAGTTCCTTTGTATCTGTAAGAAAAATACAAATAACCCAAGCGAGAAGTAAGGGCATACACAGCATTTCCCAATAAAAACCTCAAATGACCAATAAATACAGGAAGTAGCCAGGAAATAAAAAAAAAAAAAACAATAAAGACCAGAGGAAGACGCTTTTTTGCCTCTGCTAGATTGGCAAAAATTTAATCCAACCAAACCAAATGTTGGCAAGGGTGTGGTTCTTGGATTTTGACAAGCGGAAGTGGTGGTGGAAGGGGGTCCCAGCCAAGGGTGGAAACGGGCAGGGCATGTTCCTGGAGTAGCCAGGTGTCCACGTGGTGGAGCAGAGGATGCGGAAGCAGTGAATCCGGGGGCAAAGGGAGTGACCGGGTGAAGAAGGGAGGTGACCAGGGGCAGGGACAGAAAGGAAGGGGTACAGAGCTTCAGTCTGGGATGATAAAGTTCTGCAGATGGGGAGTGGGACAGCTACACAACTATAGGAACGCACCTAACACCGCTGAACTAGACGCTTAAAGATGGTCGAAGTGCAAAATCGGATGTTATGTGTATCTTACCGTCACTACAACCACCACCAAAAATCCAACTTAGGAAGAGTCTGTAATTAGAAAGAAAAACTAAGAGAGCGGAAGGAATCCTGGGGGAAGAATGGCTGCGGGGAGACTTGCTTCATCGTGAAGACAGCTGGGAACCTCCGGAGGCCTCGGACCAGGAGGACCACTCAGAACTGTGCTGCGGATTTAAAGAGGAAAACTTGCTCCTAGAAGATGACCCTTCCAAACAAAACGGGCTCAAAGGGACAGTCTTTACCTGAACACGTCTTCTTGTCTTCGTTCAGGGTGTAGCCCGCGTAACAATCACAGTGATAGGCCGTGGCCCCGTCGTCCACACAAAGGTGCTGGCAACCATGCGAGCCCAGAGCACACTTGCTGCGAACTGCGCAGGCGTGGGGCAGGAAAGAAAATAGTCCCAGGTTACAGTGGCGAAGGAAACACAGATTTATGGGAGAGAAAAGCTTCGGTTTGGTCTCAACAGGTGCTGAGAATGAACCCTTCGGCGGTCAGCAACACAGTTCCCACCTTTCAGGAGAAAGCCCGTTTTCCTTTCCTACATCTCACATCCCTCCAGCCCCACCTTTTACTGCCTCCCCCCTTTTCCTTCTCATTTCTCGCAGATATCTGGGGGCGCCTCCTCTTTTCTTCCTGCCTGCAGGACTGGGGCTGCACTGAGTCTTGATTATATTCCAGAACTTACCTTCAGCCTCTCCGGATGCCTGTAAGTGCCTCCAACGTCTCCAGCTACACATGGATCATCTTCACCGTCACCAAAAATAGTGAATTAGTGACCCACTTGCACATGGAGCTAAATCTGATGCTGCGCATAAAGCTGATGCTGTGTTGACCAAGGGGCTGCCCTTGATAGCGTGCAAAGTGGGACAGAAAACACCAGCCTACACACACATACGCACAGAGATAGTGGTAATAGTGATGATGGTGAGGAGAGGTGTAGGTTTGGATAGTGGAGCATTTATTATCTGTCACAGTAAATATATTACAAGGAGGAAGACAGTTGGCCCAAATTTGAGTGGAGAGCAAAGTGCTATGCTCATCTCATCCCATATCTAGACTGGCCCAGGATAAATAAAAACAGCAGATCTCCTTTAATAAACCCAGAAAGCCTTCCCGGGAGACACAGTTTCTTCCTCCACCATCGCAGGGACCAACCGCATCTGTCCCCCTCTAACTCTTCAGTGTCCCTCCACACTCAGGAAACTTCCATGGCTCACTGTTGCCTATAAAAGAGCTTTGAGTGAAATGCAAGTCTCTACATAATTTATCCATAGAGTGTCTTTCTAACTTTAACACTGATATTCCCCTTCATTATTTCAGATTTTTCCAGCAAAATGCTGAATAATAGGGGGCACCTGGGTAGCTCAGTCAGTTGAGCGTCTGTTAGTTTTGGCTCAGGTCATAATCTCAGGGTCATGGGATCCAGCTCCGCGTTGGGCTCTGCTCTCAGCGTGGAGTCTGCTTGAGATTTTGTCCCTTTCCCTCTCCCTCCCCCAGCCTAGCAGCTGCTCTACAGATAACAGCTGGTCACGCCTCCACCCCCAGCCCCTGATCTGGGGGCTCCACATTTAATCTACAAGCCTTGCTACTGCCCAGCAGGGGAAAAAGCAGGCTGTTAGAGGGAATGTGACCCATGTTATGTACCTCAGCTTCAGAACAGTATCCATTATTACTTTAAAATATATAAATACTGCTCCGCATTGGGCTCCATACATATATTGTTTTCTAACCCTCTGACTTTCCGCCATCTGGTCTTGCTCTTCTACCTTTGCTATGCTGTGCTGTACAGCCATGCAGAGCAACCATGAAACATGATGGCTTGACATGTGACAGCATGTGTAACCACCAGAGCAAGTGCCCGGGTTCAAATCCTCGCTCTGCGACTCACCAGCTGTGTGACCGTGGGCAAGTGACTTAAGCTGTCTGGGCCTCAGCTTCCTCTTAAAGTTGCTGTGAGCAACAATAAATGTGTGACTGTGTCTGAAATGCCTAGAACCACATACGGCATACAGTCGGCACTGAAGAACGTTGTCTATCGTGACCTGGGAGTATGGCCTGGAATAGTCTGCCTTAACCGAACATTTTCTTCGACTTTTTTTTTTTTTAATAAAATGTTCCACTTTATTCCACAGTATCTATTAGTTTAAATGTAAATTTGTTTTAGTTTCCTTTTTCAAGGTCTTCAATGTCCCTGGCTGCTTGAGGTACCAAGTGGGATACCTATAACCAGTTTGAGAAGTGCAGCCCTGAGGCCCCTCCACCCCAACTGACTTAGTCCTACCCCCAGAACAAACCAACACAAGCCGCTCCCCTTGGCCATCTGGCTCTGCTGTCCTCCATCTAAATCTCCACCATCCTCGAGGCCCACCTGCTGCCCTACACGCCCCATGCCCTTCCCCAGACAGCCCACCTCCCCAGCTTCCATAGCCCTCCATTACCGTCTGTCCCTCTCCCTGGCTAGTCTCTGCCTTCTCAGGGTGTTGGTTCTCTTTGGACCCAGCCTGCAAATTGCTCAGAGGCAGAAAATGTGCTGCTTTACATCCCCACAGGGCTTTGCACAGTCCTGGGAACAAAATAGGTGCTCAGTCCTCTTTAATTGATTTTTATTTTTTTAAAGGGAATTGGTCATGTGCCATTTCCCTTAGTCTCTCTTGAAAAGGTCACATAATATCTCTCCTCAAGGGACAGGAGCATATACATAAAAATCTAAAAAAAAAAAAAAAAAAGTTTGAATAGGCCAAAATTAAACATCACCTTGAAAGGCAGTAATTTCTCTCAGGAGTGTTTTTATATTATAAATGCCATCCTGTTCTGCCAGTGAGTTTAAATCAAATTAATGAGGATTCGCCAAGTCATAAGGCTCAGATTCACAGAAGGTTGAACATCTAAAAAGCGTCAGGGAACAACTTACTTCAAATTTACTGGAAGATCTGTGTGGGTCTAATTCAGTCATTGACAAAGTCTCCTTTATTAAAATGATCCAGCTTTAAGATTAACGCTACAGAAAAGTTCCAGGGCAAGTTTTAATTGGAAAAAGACCAGTTCAGCCTATCACACCAAATAGTTACTGTCCAACTGATTTCCTCTAAAGTTCCCATTTGCTTTACAAGTCCCCAGTGTACAGAGCTCTAAAATTTTCCTGGATAAGGATCTTACATTTAATTAGCTTTTCTCACATCCCTCACTCCCTACCCATTTCTGAAATGAGCTATATTCGCAAAATCAAGCGAGCTCACTGCTGTCTGAGCAATGTGTGCCTTGGTCTATAAGCAGCATAGAAGGTCTAGAGCCTGATTCCTTAAAGTATCTTTAAGAATCTCTCGCTGTGTGAATTGCAAGTTGGTTTCACTGCCATAGAAAGAGCCAGCTAGGAAAGAATTTTTTGAGTGGACCTTACCTGAACACGTTTTATTATCTGCATTCAGAGTATAACCCTCGTAGCATTCACAGTGATGGGACCCATCTCTGTCATTCACACAAATGTGCTGACAGCCATGTGTACCAAAGGCACATTGGTCTTGAGCTGCCCACAAAAAAGTCCAGGAGAAAAGAAATTAGAAGTGGAGAAGTCTTTTATTACCCATATATAGAAATCTTCTTACCTGCGGCTAGAAATATATGTAAGAGGCAAACCTATTGGAAACCTTCCACAGCCATCCGTACTGTAAGCTCGTACTAGAAGTTAGCGGAATTTAGCAAAATCCTACACACAGTCCTTATTCTTTTTTCCCCAACTGCTTTTTCAAAATCATCCAAACTGAGTTTTTTATAATCTAAGTATCTCATAAATACTAAATAAATAAACAAATAAATAAATACTAAAGCATTCCTTTTAGGTTTATTGTATTTACGCTGAATCAGAGGGATACCAACAATTATGTGGCTAATTACACTAGATTCAGAAAGACATCGAATTTGAGTTTGAAGAAACTGTGATTCAGCCCTCCCCTGTTCTAAGTGAGGAAGCTGAATCTATAGGAGACCAGCTGACTCAGAGCAGCATCAGAACTCAAGACCCAAACTGTCACTCAATGCACTTTTCTCTACACGGACATGGTAATTTTTTTTTGGTCTTTAAACTTTTCATTTTGAAATCATTGTAGGCATATGGAAGAGTTCCAAAAATAGTACAAAAAGTCCTGTACTTCACCCCATTTCCCCACTATAACCATAGCACAATTATCAAAACCGGGAAATTAACACTGACAACAATGCTATTAACTAATCCACAGATCTTAGTAAAATTTTGTCATTTGTTCTACCACTAATGTCCTTTTTCTGGTCCAGGATCCAATCCAGGATCCACATTGCACTTACATTGTCACCTGTCCTTAGTCCCATTCTCTCTGGGACATTTCCTCCATCTTTGTCTTTCATGACCTTGACAGCTTTGAAAAGCCCTGGAAAATTACTTTGTAGAATGCCTCTCAGGTTGGGTTTGTTTGAAGTTTCCTCATGTTGCTGAATTTTTTACGAAGACCACAGAGGTGCTCCTGTGCCCTCAGGACACCGCATCAGGAGGCGCATGATGTCCCTGCGGGTCATTACTGGTGGAGTTCCCTCTGATCACTCGGTTGAAGTGCTGTCTACCAGGTCTCTCCACTATGAAGGAACTATTTATCCCGTTGTAGGTAATAAGTATGTTGTGGAGCGTTCTCTGATTTTAACTTACTAAACTGTCTTTAGCATTTGGAAAGCACTACCAGGGCTAGCTACTGAGAAGGAAATGAACAACACACTCACACGTGGGGGCCGTGAGACATACACACCTGCTGCAACCTTTGACTTTTCTAATACGACTCAGAAATGGGAAAGGCCCAAGAGAGAAAAAACCAACCAAGGGCCTTGTCAGCGTGACCTACCCTCCAACACTGGCTAGGAAGGTATGCAGACGGGGAGGTAGCTAAAGGAGAGCCTCCTCCCCCACTTACCTGAACATGTCTTCTTGTCTTCGTTCAGGGTATAACCTTCATAGCACTCACAATGGTAAGAACCAGTTCTGTCGTTCACACAGATGTGTTCACATCCATGAGTGTTCAGAGCACACTTATCGATAGCTATCAAAAGACCATCAGGACAAATGTAAACACAAGGAAAATGTGGTAAATTAATTATGAGCCACAACACACACACACACACACACACACACACACACACACACACACACACACTGAAACAGGGACTGTTTGGCATAAGAGAAAGACCACGGGACAGGAGGTTGGGAACCGATTTCTATGCTGGCTCTTTCACTAACAGACCCCATGACATGGGTAAGTCTTCTTCCTTGCCTGGGTCTCAAGTTCATCATCTACAAAATGAGCAAGTTGAATTAAATGATCTCTAAGTTTCCTTCCTCTCAAAAACTTTTTCCGAGGATTAAAATAAAAATGGATCTAGTTCCCATCTTTATTGATGGCAGGTGAGTATCCATATACCAGATGCATGAGAACCTCTCTAAACCTTCTTCTGTGTCTAAATTCAATGAGCGGCTCTGGTCACAGAGACAAAGGGGCAGCTTGTATTTAATTAAGTAAACTCCAGGAAAAGTTCCAAAATCCTCAAAAGGACCAAGAGTTCTGGCCCCCTTCCTGACTAATCTATTTTCCTACTAACTTTTTTCTCGAAAACTAATTATAAGTACTATAAAGAAGCTGATTTATGTATTACCTCACTTTTCTCCAACAATTTTAGAGGAAAACCATTGACAAGCATCTGTGAACCACCCAAAAGGCGGTCAGGAGAAAAGCGTAAGGCCAGTCCCGAACCTGGAGAGTAGGTCCCCAGCTAAGTCCCAGTCAGGCACCCTCCCCGAAGCAGGCCTCACCTGAACATGTCTTCATATCAGCGTTCAAGGAGTATCCTTGGCTACACTCACAGTGGTGCTTGCCTTCCCCGTCACTGATACACACGTGCTGGCACTGGTGTGTGCCAAGGGCACACGGGTCTGCAGCTGCACACCAGAAGTGTAAAGTCGTCAGTATCGACACATAAGAAACATTCCAGATACTTCCTTCCCTGTCAAAAAGACACCGCCCTCTGGTTCCTTTTCAATGAGAGTTCGCTTTTAAAAACTGTTTTCTGCCTCTACCTTATTGGAAATACCACTCTTACACGAATAATGTTACTAATTTAAAATTACCAATTTCATTTCAGCTTTCTCAAAGAGAAAGGAAATTTTGAATTTGGAGCTGAAGCCAAACACTTACGTGGGTCAGACAACTGGATACTTTATTCAATGTATCCACCTAGCCCAGGAAAAGGACCTTTTACTTCCCAACTGCAAGAAACGGGGAGAACTACAATGCACTTCTGGAAGGTCTATGAGCTAGTTGTCCTCTTGCAGCCAGAATCTGCTTTCCAAGAGCTCTACAGTCTGTGTCAAAACAGAATTCACACACAGGCATGTCTCTTGGCCTGGAACTCACTCAGTCTTGGGCGGCAATACATATTTGAACATGCAAATGGTGGAGGGCAAGGCAGGTAACTGCCTTCTGAATGAGCAGCATGGGTGCGTGAGCCTAAACGTAGGCTAATGCAACTTCAGGGCCTCTGGTATCTGCAAGGAGAATGCACTCACAGGATGGATGCAAGCAGGTAAAAAGAAAAGGAAGAACAGAATAAACAAGACCACGTCAGCTAAGCCGCATCGCATCCCCATCTTTTCCCTCCTGGAGGTGTTTATATCTCGTTGGATTTTTTTCCTAGTGACACGTTTTGAAAAAAGAATCAATGAATTTAGTTATTTCTGAGAAAACCAAGGAGGCCTGTTGGAGGAGGCTGGCACCCCTGGGCAGGTAACCCAGCCTCGAATGCTTTGGCAACAGGTCAAGGCTAATATTTTCCTAAGAAGGGCCTTTTCATGGAATGATCTTTCCAACCCATTGACTACAACAAGCTGCCCCTCAGTCTTTTCTCCACAGAGAGGACATTTTTCCCCCAGAACAAGCAGGTCTTTTGTACCAGAAGGAAAAGATTGCCACTCACCACTTGCTACTTTATGGCCTTCAAGCCCAACCCCAGGTGCTAGCTTTGAGACCAACTCTGCCACAGACCAACGTCTTTATGGAAAAGCTCTCACCCACAAGCACAGGGGGTTTTCCTGGGAGAAAGAAAGCCATGTTCTTTTGAGAAACCAATGAATGCCAAGTAGATGCCACCAAAGCCAAGGACAGCTTGTGAAGGCCCAGTGTCCTGGGACAGGAAAGACAAGGGGCCACCAGCCAGGTCTGGCTGAGTTGAGGCCAAACTTTGCTCCAGACCAAGACTTCATCTCCCATTTCCTGACAAACTGGGGTGACTGCCGAGTTCCACATTAATTTCAATGTAAAGTCGCCTTGAAATTCGCAGTTGTAATTACTGATTCACTTGTTTCTCATCACCACCTCCAGACTATTGCTTGATAGTAGGGAGGGAATACCTTTATCTTTGTATTATCAGTGATCAATTAATGCATATCGAATAAAGAGGTGGGGAATAGGTTACACAGCAAAAAGTATCTACATTTTAAAATTCACCTGAACTAGAAATTTGCCCACACCTGTTTGGATAATTCCACAGAGGGCTTTGAAAGATTATATCTCTAAATGATAAAAAATAAATAAATAAATAAATAAATAAATAAATAAATAAAGCATGAATATGGGTAGATAGAAAGACAGAACATACACAGATGGATACAAAGGAAAAAGGAAACTTGGGCACCTGGGTGGCTCAGTCAGTTAAGTGTCTGCCTTTGGCTCAGGTCACGCTCCCAGGGTCCTGAGATCAAGTCCTGCATTCAGGCTCCCTGCCCAGCAGGGAGTCTGCTTCTCCCTCTGCCCCTCCACCACCCCCACCCCGGCTTGTGCTGGCTCGTGCACTCTCTCTTTCTCAAACAAATAAAATCTTTAAAAAAAAAAAAGAGGGGGCACCTGGGTGGCTCAGTCGTTAAGCATCTGCCTTCAACTCAGGTTATGATCCCAGAGTCCTGGGATCGAGCCCCACATCGGGCTCCCTGCTCAGCGGGAAGCCTGCTTCTCCCTCTCCCACTCCCCCGGCTTGTGTTCCCTCTCTCGCTGTCTCTCTCTCTGTCAAATAAGTAAAAATATTTTTAAAAAAAAGAAACTTAAAAAAGTATGAGTCTTACATATTCATAATTCTGATCAGTGACTAAGAATAAAGCCCCGCCTTAAATGGATTCATATTCATGGATTTGACTGATTCATGCTAAAAATTCCAATTAAATTAGCATGCTCATATTCTAACTCTATCCTAAATGATAAAAGACAGAAGGACAGTAACAATCTTTTTTTTTCAATCTGCTTCTTGCTATCTCACAAGTGAACTGAAATCCCAATCCCTCCCCCACTTCTTAATCCTGTCCCTCCACAAAGAATAATCAGAGGAAGAGCAGAATCTGAAAACTAGAGGATCTAGAGAATAAGCAAAACCCTGACTGACAGTTACACTGGAAAGCCCCCAGATCCTTCCATGGGCAGACAGATGCTGCTCCCCGTCTTCTCCAGGAAAACAAACAGTTCTGTTAAAGCCAGAGATGGTAAAGCTAAAGAAAATATCTGGGAAAAATGGAGTTGTGGGCAGATGGGAGAAAAGAGGTGTCTTGAGTTGTTTGTTTGTTTGTTTTTTTCTGACCCCATCAGGGAACAGCAGGATCATTTATCCTGGTTATTTCCAGACCTTCACATTTCTAATGCAAACATGAAGATTTTTATGAGCAAACCAAGTTATATATAAAGCAACTCTATATTCCTAAACCAACAAAGTGTGTTTAAGTTGGTAAAAAACTCAAGAAAAGCACTGCTTATATTTCAGTTTTCCATAAAGTTGCTACAAAAAAAAAAGAATAACTCTTTCTTTGGATATACAATATCTGAATATTCTAGTTGAGAGCAAAGACTTACCGCAAAAGGTCTCCTGGAATCTAGAGGAAAGTTTCTCAATGACCCCGTAGGTCTCCACGTAGAAAACGTGCTCATCTAGGGGCTCACTGGCAATCATCTTGAGGGACTCCAAGTCCGCCCGGTCCACACCCACGGCATAGAGCTCAATACCAGATGCCCGGGCCCGAGCCGCCACGTCATTCACCTGGTCCTGGGGCCTCCCGTCTGTCACGATGATGGCCACCTTAGGGATGTTGGAAGTGGGCCCCCGAGCACCTGCCTCCACTGTGAAGGCCTCATCCATCGCTGTCTGGATAGCCAGGCCTGACATGGTGCCTGTTGACAAGGGGGTGATCCGGGCCACGGCCCGTTTCAAGGACTGCTTATCTGAGTGGGTCTGGAGGTGGAACTCAATCTTCACAGTGCTGGCATAGTTCACCACTGCCACCCGTGTGTCCGCCGCCCCAATGTCCAGAGTGTCAATTATCTGGGAGACAAAGGTTTTCACCTTGGTGAACTCCAGGGGCCGCACACTGCGAGAACTATCGATGATAAACACCAAATCCAAGGGCCTGCTCTTGCAAACACCTGCAAAGTAGGGTGTGGGGAATGGGCACGGCTGAGCAAGGATGGGAGCCCAATCGGAAATGGGGCAATCCTCACACCCAGAGAGCCCTGGGGCTGGAGGCCCCACTGTCTGCTATCTTCCCCCAAGACCATCCTCCCTTTAGATGCTGAAAGTACTAAGGTCCTTCCAAATTCCCCAGTGAGAATTCACATAGAGGGGTGAAGTTTCTCCAAATATCTCACCTACAGGCTGGCTGAACCCCAAACTTTCACCTAGAACCTCATCCCTCTGCTTCAGGTATTGCCCCAAGGTTCCTCTTGACTCCCAGGAATGAATGGTTTCCAGACCTTTCTTGGGGACCTCAGCCATGGGACGATGGAACAGTGGCAATGGGACAGTGGCCCTGAACAGAGTGAGAGGTAAACTCGGGACAGCCTCGGTGCCCTGCCCAGGCTTCACAGACACCTCAGGCAATGGCAGAGTTCAAGGCAAGCACACTAGGGCTTTTCTGGAAGCTTCCTTCTTCTACTCCCCCACCAACGGGGTAAAAACTGCGCCCAGAGTAGCCCTAAGTGCTCCTTCCTTCTCATCATTCAGCAGGTTTAGTGAACTTTGGGGCCCCGAGAGCCTGAGATACTTAAAAGTGAGAAGAGGAATGACAATCTGATCTACATCTGTTGTGCTTCCAGTTCTGTCCGTGTGTCTGGTTTTCAGGAGGAGAGACGTCCACTGATGTCTACCCTCCACCTCCACCAAACTCTTGCAGTCACCCCTTTCATTTTTTTCATTCACCAAATACTTTTGTGGGGACGTACCATGTATTTAGCCCCAGGGCTACAAAAGCAAAGAAGCTTGTATCTTTCCTACTCAAAAGTACCGAACACCAGGGCCCCTGGGTGGCACAGTAGGTTGGTTAAGACTCTGACTCTTGGTTTCGGCTCAGGTCACAATCTCAGGGGTGAGATCAAGTCCCACGTTGGCTCCATGCTCACCACAGAGTCTGCTTGAGATTCTCTCTCCCTCTCCCTCTGTCCTTCCCCCTCTCTCTCTCTCTCAAATAAATAATCTTTTTTTTTAATTTGACCATATATGTGAAGATTTATTTCTGGGCTCTCTATTCTATTCCATTGATCATCAAATAAATAAATTAATCTTAAAAAAAAAAAAGTACCAAGCACTTAGTGATAATACCACACATCTTTGGGGTTCCTGGGTGGCTCAGTCGGTTAAGGGTTTGCCTTCATAATCCCGGGATCCTGGGATGGAGCCCTGCATCAGGCTCCTGCTTGGTGGGGGGGGGCCCTACTTTCCCCTCTCCCTCTGCCCCTCCCCCTGGCTCATGCTCTCTTGGGTTTATCCTGCTTCCTGGAGGTATTCAATTAGGAAAATAAATCATACCTTACTTTCAATAACGTTTTAGAGATCACAGGGCACAAAACAAACAACCCCATGAAGTCGGAGGTGCAGAATTTTTATACCCATTTTACAGGTGAGAAGCCTGAGGTTCTGGAAGGTGTGTGAGCCAGAAAACAGCAGGTCATGGATGGGACTCCAATTTTCCTGACTCCCAGCCTAAAGGGGCTTTTCACTGAATGGCTGCCTCTCTCTGAGGTAACATTTTCTCGTGGACCTAGTAAACACCCTGCTTGTTGACTTTGAGCCACCGCCCTGATATATGTCATGTACTTAGTTAAGTCAAAAGGAATTCTTTTTTTTTTTTTTTTTTAAACAACTCCCGAGGGGCGCCTGGGTGGCTCAGTCGTCGGGCATCTGCCTTCAGCTCGGGTCGTGATCCCGGGGTCCTCGGATGGAGCCCCGCATCGGGCTCTCTGCTCGGCGGGAAGCCTGCTTCTCCCTCTCCCACTCCCCCTGCTTGTGTTCCCTCTCTCGCTGTGTCTCTCTCTGTCAAATAAATAAATAAAATCTTTTTAAATAAATAAGTAAATAAATAAATAAAACAACTCCTGAATTTCATTTCATCCCTTGATTACCATGCATCAGGATCAAGGAAGAAGAATCCTATTGAAAATCCTTCCTGGACATAGATGTAGGTACTTTTACATAATTGGGATAAAAGGAAAAACACATGGTGATATGAAACCCATATTTGACAATGATTTCACTAACACCCAAATCTTGTCCTAATGTCAAGGTTACGTTCTTACGGTAAATGTCCATGATTCCTTCCTCCTCACACAGAATCCTTTATGGGAGATTACAGCGGGGTGTGGTGGGCAGAATAAAGCTCCGTCGCCGTCAAAAATGTCTATGTCCTAATCCCTGGAACCTGTAAGTATGTTACTTTATATGGCAAAAAAAAAAAGACTTTGCAGATGGATTAATGATCTTGAGATGGGGAGTTTATCCTGGATTATTGGGGTGGGTCCAGTGTAATTACAGAGGCCCCTAAAAGTGGAAAAGAGAGAGGCAGGAGAGGAGATCACAGTGATGAGGTGTGAGAAGGACCCAACCTGCCTTTGGTGGCTTTGAAAATAGGGAAAAGGCCATGAGTCAAGGAGTGAAGGTAACCTCTACATGCTGAACCGGGCAAGGAAACAGTCTCCCCCAGATCTTTCCCAAAGGAACACAACCCTGCTGACACAATTTTAGCCCTCTGAGACTAGTGTTGGAATTCTGGTCTACAGAACTCTTAGATAATAAGTGTGGGGTGCCTGGGTGGCTCAGTCGTTAAGCGTCTGCCTTCGGCTCAGGTCATGGTCCCAGGGTCCTGGGATTGAGTCCCACATCGGGCTCCCTGCTCGGCGGGAAGCCTGCTTCTCCCATTCCCACTCTCCCTGCTTGTGTTCCCTCTCTCGCTGTCTCCCTCTCTCTTAAAAAATAAATAAAATCTTCAAAAGCAAAGAAAAAGATAATAAGCGTGTACTGTTTGTAAGTCACTGAGTTTGTGCTAATTTGTTACAGCAGCAATAGAAAACTAATACAGAGGCTCAACTCAGATGGCAGGAAATTCTGTGAGCGTCTGGTTACCCCCTGCTTTGGACCCCCTCTGCAACATCACTGTTTTTGAATCTCACTCCCCTTTTCTAGATAGCAGCACTTTGAGTCTCAGAAACCAAGAAAGTGAGAATCTGAATTCCCTAAAAGTGTTCCATACTTACAATTTTGCTGATTTTTGATAGTCCTGCTAGAAATAAAAGCCCATAGCAAAGTGTAGCCATTTCCGGTTGCAAAAAGGAGAGAATTTGGGAAAGGGTGAAATGTGTTGTTTATTAAAGGGTTATCATTCGGGGCGCCTGGGTGGCTCAGTTGGTTAAGCGACTGCCTTCGGCTCAGGTCATGATCCTGGAGTCCTGGGATCGAGTCCCACATCGGGCTCCCTGCTCCTTGGGAGCCTGCTTCTCCCTCTGCCTCTCTGTCTCTCATTCTCTCTCTCAAATAAATAAATAAAATCTTAAAAAAAAAAAAAAAGGATTATCATTCAAGATCAATTTAGATTCCAAGTAACGCAGGGCCAGTGCTGCTTTGGGGGAGCATGAACAGCCCATGCGGAATCCCTCCTCCCTGTCCAGTCCCATTCCCAAGGGAGGCGGGTCAGGACCAGAGGCAAGGTTACTTTTTAGAAGAAAGGCTTCCCTACACCCCCCACCCTCCTCCCAGCCCGAAGCAAAGCAGGCTACCAGCTGAATTCAACCCTTGTGAACCCTGGTACTCCCTGGCTCAAAGACAATGCTGTCACCATTTCAAATCCAGCCCATCGGGGCTGATGCAGGAAAGAATCCTTCGCGCTCTTTCTCCACATTATCCAGAAAGGTGCAAAAGGGGATAGACAAAACAGCCCGAGGCATGAATGAAACTGGAGACCCAGAAAATGGTTTGGGGCAGCCTCTCTTCAGCAAGACTGAAACTTTACATCTTATGTAAGCCCACTTTAAGAGCTTGGTAGATTGGGGCGCCTGGGTGGCTCAGATGGTTAAGCGTCTGCCTTTGGCTCAGGTCATGATCCCAGGGTCCTGGGATCGAGGTCCGCATCAGGCTCCCTGCTCCTTGGGAGCCTGCTTCTCCCTCTGCTTCTCTCTCTCTCTCTCCCTCTGTCTCTCTCCCTCTGTCTCTCATGAATAAATAAATAAAATCTTTAAAAAAAAAAAAAAAAGCTTGGTAGATTGTAGCAGTGGAAAGATCCTTGTGTGGGATTTTGGAGCCCTGAGTTCTATTCTGAGCTCTGACACTGATTTGCTGGGTCATTTGATAAGCCTCAGTTTATATGCTTTTAGGGGTGGTGTCAGGTGATCTTCAAGCTCTGCTACTCCAGGAACCTCTGCGAGAGGAACGAACTACAGACCAAAAAGGGCAATGGAAAATTGTTCACCAAAGACCCAGTGTCTTGGGTGTTTGAGGATCTAAGAGAGTACAGGTTGGGACTGGGACCCAGTCAGTTCAAGCAGAACACCTGGTCCGGGGCAGAGGAGGAGGTGGAGACCAGGACGGTTACAAGAGAGGTCTGGGGCCATCCAGGGGGCCCCTCAGGTGTCCTTCTTGGCCTCCCACCCCCCACTCCCCCGTGTGAATTCCAGTCCCAATTCTGATCCAGATCCTAGATTGGACTGAGACAGCTTGAAGGCTGTGGCCAGGGGAGGGAAGGTCACACTGATCTGGGGCTATAGAGGAAGTGATTTCCAGACAACTAAAGGCAGAATCTCAGGAAGGGTTTTTTCAGCTGCACCGAGAGGTAGGGCCGGCACAGAGCGCCGGGAGGTGGCCGGTGTTCCCACGCTGCCCCGTCCTCCAGGCCCAAATTGCAGAGGGAAGTGGCTGGAGTTTGAGCTTCAGGCGACCCAAATTCTAGTCCTGACTATGAGAGACTTTAGGCATCTCCCTTCCCTTGTCTGGACCCGTTTCCCCACAAGATTCATCGGGGAGGGGATTCTTTCTCCTGCATCGCAGTCTGGCTCGGGTTGGGATAGACCGAACACTGGGCGGCTGCACGGGGCTTCTCCTGTTCGACGCTCCGCTCCCCCACCACCCATCCCTCCTCCCGGCCCTCCCCACCTCCCTCCTGCCGGCTATCCCTCCCTGGTGCCCGCTCGCATCCCTCCCAGGCGGGGGTCCCACTCCCGGCCCCGTACCTGCGCCGCGGGCCCCGCCGCGCTGGCGGACCCCGGAATAGGGCGCGCCGGTGGGGGCGGCCGCAGCAGGGCGGCGCCCGGGGCTGCCCCCTGGGCCCCGCGCCCCCAGCCTCCGCAAGCCCGGGCGGGCCAAGGGGCCGGGGGCGGCGGGGGTCGGCGGCGGCAGCAGCAGCAGCAGCGGCCACAGCAGCAGGAGCAGTCCCGAGAGGTGGCGCGGCATGGCGGGCTCCGCACTCCTGCAGGTGTTGTCCTCGAAGGTTGCCTCGCTCCAGCAGGCAAGCGCCTGAGCCCCGCGCCGAGGAGGCCAATTTAAAGGTCCCGCCGCCCCGCACTCCGCCCACCCCGCGGCCCCGCCCCGCGGCCCCGCCCACCGCCGGAGCACGGGAGGAGCCGCCGGGCTCGGCGCCCGGGGCCAGCCGGAGCCTGTCCGAGCATTCCGGCGGCAGAAACGGAATGTCTGGGGCGAGCCGGCGGCGGCGCGGTGCCCGGAGTCCGGCCCGCGGAGGCCCCCGCCGGGCCTCGTCTGGGTGGGCTCGGCCGGACGCCTCCTGGCCGCGCTCCGTCTCTCCCGAGACTTGTGCCCTGGCCTGCGAACCCACCCGGCCGCAGCCCGCCGGCCCTGCGCTCTCCTCCTGCCCCGGCAGGCCTGACCCCCGGCCCCAGGCGAGGGGACCCCTGGCTCTGCCTTCCCGCTCCCGCCAGCGGTGCCTGCGGCGAGGTTTCATCTCGCTGCTCGCACTGCATTCCTTTCCCCAGCCAAGTAACCAAGTTTTGCTGTGGGCTCTCAGTAAAAGAAAAAAAAAAAAGCCTCACAGATGCTGGCAGCATGAATAGAAATGCTTTCATCCCAGCTTCAAACATCCGTAAACATTTGAACTTATATTACAGGAATAGAAAGTCAAACATACATTCCCCAGAGAGCACCCCCGGCCAGCTGGAAGGACAGCCTGTACCAACAGAGGCTTCGAAGGCGCTCCCTAAATCCCGTTTCCTCTCCGGAAGAGTGGCGGTGGCAGCACGGGGCTGGGGGCCACCCAGGGGACCCTCCAAGAACTGTCTATCGGGAGAAAGCATAATGGTCTACCTGTCTAAGGGAACATGGTGAATTTAGGAAAAAGAGACTGCAGCAGACTGAGGAAAGCAGGAAGGCTTCTAAAAACAGGTGAGGTTTGAGCTGGATCCTAAAACCTGACAATGAACGTGAGTTCCAACAGATCCAGTCTGGTCTTCCTGCTTCCAGACTATTAGTCCTCTAAAACCCACACTCCACGCAGTAACCTTAAAATCACTTCTCTTCTTAAACCTTGCAACTTCGCTTCCAGGAAAATCCAAACTCCTTTTCACCGCCAACAAGGCTCTTGAGATTCAATCCCACCTCCTCTGCAGCACTGACCACCAACATCCAGAACTGTATTCCTGCTCTCCGTGCTTCAGTCATGCTAGCCTTCCCCGTGTCCTGGAGGACACCAAACTTGTTCCCCCACCTTGGTCATCAGTGTAATGTCTTCCTCAGAGCAGCCTTCCCTGAGGCCAGATCTTAGTTTTTCAAACTTATTTTTACCACAATCCATTATAACAACTACATTTTAGATTATGAGCCAGCAGCTACATAGATAACACATATGTCCACAGAAATGATAGTTGCACGAAACAATACTAACACTTAACCACATTTGATGCTATTCTATCCACCTCCATTCAGTTCTATTTCATTTTTTTTAAATGTGATCATGAGTACATGAGTTTGTAGCTCACTAATGTTTCCCAGGTAGCAGTTTAAGAAATTGTTTTGAATAGATTCTTTCCTACTGTCTCCGCCTTTCTGCTCTATTATAGCATCCTGTGTGTTTCATTTGGGGGACTTATTCAATTTTTAATTATTCAGTTTATATTCAATTTATTTATTTTTATATCCCACCAGACTGTAGGCTCCAGAAGGGCAGAGCTGATGCCTGGCATTGTTCGGTGCTGACTTCCTGTAAATTCCTCCTTACCACATGCAGGTCTGCAATGGGACTGAAAATTTAGGAAATGGAAGATCATAGAACAGGGCTGAAATTTAACTCTGCATTGGCAGGATAGTAAACAGGCACGATAGACTGTAAGAAAAGAAATAACCTGGAATTACTTTATCCAAGAGCCCAAGGATGCTGAGGAAATGGTTTTGCTGTTTCACTTCATTGCCTGACAACAGATGGCTCTGTGCTGGGCACCGGCTCCACAGAGAGCCCTTTCCTCTGGCCTCCTCTAGTGGGGAGTTGGTCCTCCTCCACCACCAGACTCCTTCTCTGAAGAAATTCAGGGGTACAAGCAACATAAAGTGTAATAGTCTGTTTCAGCACATTTGCATGTAGGCATATGTGAAGATTAAAACTATTTGGTTAGGCTAGGGAAGAAATTATAGGTAGTTTTCCCTAAAAATTCATTCTAATACTACCACTTTTTTTTATAATCCTAAAAAAAAAAAATAGAAACTATTTCTTTACTGGTCAGCTCTGGCTAGGCTGGGCTATGGTAATAATGACCCTAAAATCTCAGGGGCTCCTAACAAGAGAAATGTACTTGTTGCTCTGTGTTGTGTCCTTCCTAGGTTGGCTGCAGTTCTTCCCCACGTCATCTTCATTCTGGAACCCAGACAAGGGGCAGACCCAATGTGAGACAGGCTGGTCTTGTGGCAAAGGAAGGAAATGAGAGATGGAAGAACCAGATGACAGATCTTAACATTTCTGCAAGAAGCGGCTCATATCAATCCCACTCACATGTGATTGGCCAAAGCAAGTCATGTGGGCAAGAAAGGTCTGTGGGTGGGGAATAGAAGGCTTTTACAGCAAATCGTTGCAAACCATAATACAATCTAGCACAATTTATTTATACATCTTTTATAATGGGATGGAGGGGGGTGCCCTCTGAGGTCTACTCTCTAGATTTGGTAAGAATCTTTGGCCTCTGAATCCTGATCGGCTTCTCGTCAGAGGCCCCTCCCTTTGGGCCATCCAATCCTGACTTTTTTTTTTTTTTTAAGATTTTATTTTTAAGGAATCTCTACCCTCAAGGTGGGGCTCAAACCCACAGCCCCGAGATCAAGAGCCATATGCTTCCCGGATTGAGCCAGCCAGGCGCCCCTAATCCTGACCACTAACAGCTTTCCAGGGGGCCCGGGTGGGAGAGCCTCCGTGGATTGACTTCTTTGTTCCTGCTGCTTGGCGTCCTGTGATAGGGTAGCGGCACTAACTCTCAGCTCACCCCCTGGGAAATGTCTCTGGAAGCCTCTTCAGACCCGTCGTCACCCCCGGGAGCCACACCCCCTCTTACCTTCCAGGTTCTGCGTGCTGCCCAGCTCCAAAAGCCTCCCGGGACACATGCAAGGCCATGGTGTCCGTTGGGTTCCAAGAGCTATTTTCTCACATCCTGGACTTACTGATTCGTGACCAAAACACTTAGTTGTGCTAATTTCCAGAAACTCCCAGATTCAGTTCTCTCCGACTCTGCGTGCCAGAAACCTAAGGGAAGGAGGCCTATTGTGCACGCCTGCATGCGGAGGTTCTGCCACTTGACTGAGTCTAAGAATCCCTCAGGAGGCTTATTAAAAGGCAGCTTCCTGATACTCGGGCATTAAAAGGCAAGTATCCAGATACTTATGCAGACGGTTTGGGACTGGGCCTAGGAATCTGCATTCAACAATCTCTCTAGGCAACTGACACCTGAGGGAGTTTGCAATGTCCCAGTTCTGATGGTCTCCACAACAGGCCTGGGCGGGATCCAGTGCAAGGGCCCCTGCAAGGAAGTGGCCACCTGCACAGAAGGCCTTTGAGGGACTGACTGTATGGTCAGAAGACATCATGGGCCAGGGAGTGACTACTCTCTCTCCTGCGTCACACTTCTCAAGAGCCGTCACAAAAACTCAGATCACCAAATCCAAAGGCTCCCTCAGAGGGTTCAGACAGCTCCACTGTTGGCAGGTGTCCCAGTTTTAGCAACTTCCGGCAGAGCTGCTGTCTAATCCTGATTCTACATGAATTGTCTATTTCCTTTTCCACTTCTTTTCCTGCTTCCCAGTCTAGAAATCCACAAGATTTTTTTCTGGGTCAGCTTTTAAAAAACTGTAATAGATTCCTTTTTTTTTCTTAATGGTAAAAGTAATGCAACTTACTGTGGAGAGTTTAGCAAATGTAGTAAAGCAAAAATAAGAAAATAAAGACCGTCTGTAACACTAACGTCCAAAGATAAGTTATGTGGGATTATCTCTTTCTCTGCTTGTATATTCATATATTTTTATTAAAAATGAGATCACACTGTATATTGTGATCTTATTATTTGCTTTTTGTACTTAATGTATGGTGAACCTTTTTTGTTATATTCTTCTAATACATCATTTTTAATGGCTATATTGTATTCCATCATAGATTCCATTTATTTATGCAATTCTCCATTGTGGGACATTTCGTTTCTACTTGTTTTTAATGATAAATAGTGCTTCAATGAATCTCCTTTTGTGAATCATTGTGAACTATTATTCTTTCTTGCTATAAGTGGAATGCCTCAATGACTAGGCCTTCTTGGGCCTCTGTGTACCATCCTATTAGGAATTCCATTGAGTGTGGGTTCAGCTGCCGCCTCTCTAGTGATAATTCCCAAAACCATGTCTCTGGTCCCAGTTCTGCTCCCGGGCAACAGACTTAGATTAATACTCTGCTTGTTGTACCCTCTATTCAACGATCACAGAAGCACCTCCGGCTCAACCACATCCAAGAATGAACTCAACATCTTCCTCTTTTTTTTTTTTTTTCTTTAAGATTTTATTTTTAAATAATAATCTCTACACCCAATGTGGGGCTCAAACTCAAAGCCCTGAGATCAAGAGTCACATGCTCTACTGACTGAGCCAGCCAGGCGCCCCTCCACATCTTCCTCTTTAATGACCTCCCTCGTATGCCCCACTCCTGCCTGTGGAACCAGCGTTCTCCCAGCCACACGGGGGGAATCTTCACGTCCTCTTTCCTCCCGTGATCCACTTGTATTAAAGTTATCCAGTCTTCTGCCCGCATCTCCACCAGTTCAAATCCCGTCCAATGCTCAAAGCCTAGCTCAAATCACTTCGTTACAGGAAGCTTACCCTTATCTTCCCAGATATATCCAATCCCCGAAGGAGAGGGAGGGGAAGACAGAAGAAAAACGTGAAGAAATAATGGCTGAAAAACACGTGAAACTTGATGAAACCGATAAACCCAATGAACCTCAAGCACAAGAAACACACACACACAAAACCTTACTTTTTTGTATATATTATACCTCAAAAAAAAAAAATCAAAGAACATATTTTAAAAAAATACTTAAAACCAGTACAGAGCTTTTCATCACCAAAAGTTAAAAAAATAAATGAACAAAGTTAAGGATGATGGAAGATTTCTCAGTAGAAACAATGTGTACAAGACAGTGGAGCAACATCTTCAAAGTACTGAATAAAAAACAAACAGGGGCGCCTGGGTGGCTCAGTTGGTTGCGCGACTGCCTTCGGCTCAGGTCATGATCCTGGAGTCCCGGGACCGAGTCCCACATTGGGCTCCCTGCTCAGCGGGGAGTCTGCTTCTCCCTCTGACCCTCCCCCCTCACGTTCTCTCTCTTTCTCTTTCTAATAAATAAAATCTTTAAAAACAAAACTGACTCCTTAGAATTCTATATCCAGGAATAGAATTGTTTGAAAACAAGGGTAAAATAAAGACATTGTCAGACATACGAAGGCCAAAAGAATTCATCAGCAGTAGAACCACACTGCAAAAAAAAAAAAAAAGTTTTCTTCTGGCAGAAGAAAAATGATACCAGGTGGAAATGTGGAGCTACAAAAAGAATGAAAAACACCAGAAATGGTAACTAAATGGGTATATATGTAATTTAAAAAATTATCTTCCTCTTTAAAAGATAATTAACTGTTTAGCCAAAAATAAGAGTCACAGAAAGTCAACACAAGAAGGAACCTAGTCGGCCACTCAATTGGAAATGAATTATCTACTGTCATTCAACGGGTGGGAGGGCGAGGGAATATAAATCAGGTTTCCTGATGCCGCGTCCAGATTTTCAGCTACTTCACTGAATGATGACAGGTACAAAACTCCTTTCTAACAGACCAGAAACAGTTACTCTTTTTCTGGTTTCCAGGTCAAATACTCTTCTCCCTTTTCAGTCCTTCCTGTCACCATTCCTTGCTCACACACTCCATTCCTGATAATATTTACACAGTGCTTAATAGTTGCCAACTCTTCCATGTCTGTTACCTCACTTGATCCTAAAAACAACTCCCAGAAGTGTGTAGGTCAGGAGTTTGCATCTTCTTGATTTTTATGGGATGCAGAAACTGAATCTCAGACCGGAGTTAAACTCCCCAGCACGAGGGATTAATAGCGTGGTGAAGTTAGAACAACAACCTTCTGACTCCAGATTGCGTGCTCATTCTGCCAGCCCCATACTGACTGTCTCACGTGCCTGAATTCCATGTTGTCTGGCACACATCTTCTAAATTATTTTCTCATACCCAAAATCACGACTTTTTTAGGAACACAAAGCAACCTCAGAAAAGCAAAAGTACTACTTTGCTTGGGCTTATTTATAACATGCTCCAACTCTGAAAGCAAAAGGAGTCCTGAAAATGGAACATTGGTCATTTGCTGTAAGGGACATCGAAACAATTAGAAAAAACTAAGTTCATGATGACTATGAACAAATTAGTCACAGGCTAGAAAACAGGGATTAGACCATCACCAAACAGAAGAAAATGTACAATTTATCAATGGAAAGGCTCTTGGTTTTGTATTTCAAGTACTTTTTTTTTTTAGGATTTTATTTATTTATTTGACAGAGCGACAGCTAGAGCAGGAACACAAGCCCGGGGAGTGGGAGAGGGAGAAGCAGGCTTCCCGCTGAGAAGGGAGTCCCCACGCGGGGACGCAGGGCTCAATCCAGGATCATGACCTGAAAGGAAGGCAGACGCCCAACAACTGAGCCTCAGGTGCCCCACAAATACCTTTAAATGTAGGTGTGGTACACCCAACGTTTAGATCATAACCAATTCATATTGAAAACAGTCTATTAGCAGTGTACAGTTTGTGGAGACAAAGTCTTTCATTCAGTAAACATTTACCACCCTCCCTTTCCCTCCCAACTTTGTGTGAGCCACTGTGCCAAGTGTTGCAGATGGGAAAAAGAGTAAGCCCTCATCTCTAAGTTGTTCACTAACAGAGACACAGACACAATAAAACATGAGCTTAATGGAGGGATGTTCCCAGGTGCTAGAGGAAGAGAAAAGGAAGCAGGCTGATTCAACAAATCATTTTTCAAAGCGAATGCCTTGGTAGTCCATTTGCCAAATAATCAAAAGAGAAAACAGCCAATTTACAGAGTTTACCTACTTTGCTAAAATCTTCTAAGTAATATTTTAAGATCTCTCAGTATATATAGATATGTTCTCTGAGGACTTGCTGTCAGTCAGTCTGCTGTTGTGCTAAGCACCGTACACATTGCCTTCTCTTGGTAAGTTACATGGCACTCACTAAGCTCACAGAGGTTAAGTAACTTGGCCAGACTCACACAGTAAATCAGTGGCAGAACTGAAGTTTAAAACCAACTTGTCTGAATCCAGTATCTGATTTCTCAACAACTCCTCTATACAACCTGCTTTATAATATCTGATTTTTTTTATGTGCTAGACACTGTTCTAGATTCTGCACATGAATTATATCATTTATTATTTACAACTCTGTGAGTTAGCAGAGTCTTTTTCTAGATGAGAAAACAGATTCAGAGAAGTTATACCGCAAGTCCTTTTGGGACTCATCTGTTCGGAGCCCTCCAGTAGGTTCCCCTTCTACTAAGACAGTCATTGTAATGACCTACAGTGGCCAACCCAATACCTCCCCAAGCTCATGGCCCACTGCCCTTGGCTCTCCTCCCTTTCCACTCTCACTCAAGCTGACTATTCTTTGAAATCGCCTAGTGCACTCATACATATCCCTCTGCCTAAGATCTTCCTCCTTCAGGTTTCACTCACATGTCACCTTATTCCAAGTGCGGCCTTTTCCTTGACATCCTTTAAAATTGTACCCACCCCATTCCCCTTTCTCATCTCCTTCTCTCCATAGCTCTGTCACTAACTTACTATATTGTTTTAAATCATCTGTCTCTCCCCACTAAGAGGAGACCAGGGAGTTTGTTTTTTGTTTTGTTTTTTTTAATGTTTTGCCCATCACTGTGTCTCTTGCACTTGGAACAAAGTACAGGCTCAAAATGTATCACTTGAGTTAAACTTTTGCTCAGGGTTAGAGTGTGAATTGGGTACTGAACCCAGCAGATAATCCCTAACACCATCCTCTTTCCATTACATCAAATGTGCTAATAATGCCAGAGACAATGCATGCTCCAGTGAGCTCAATTTTGGAAACAAGGGCCTCACAGGGCTCATTTTGTTTCATAGGCCCCAGAAACACCTGGAACTTTATGGAGCTTTTACAGCTAGCCACATTCATATAAGTAAATGTTGAGAATGTGAAGCAAGAAGGCCAAAACTGGAGCACAGAGTGGACAAAGCAGATGGAGGTGAAAAAGCTACAAAAGGAAACCAAACAGATGACAAAGATACGCAAAACTCAGTGAAAAGTTGTGAAAGCCAAGAGGTTGGGTAGTCAACAATGTTGGATGATAAAAACCAAAACTGAGGTTAGAAAGTGTAACAGGGTGGCACCTGGGTGGCTTACTTAGTTGAGCGTCCGGCTCGATTTCAGTTCAGGTTATGATCTCAGGGTCCTGGGATTGAGCCCCACATTGGACTCTGCATATGTCGGGGAGTCTGCTTGGGATTATCCCTCTCCCTCTGCCTCTCCCCAAGCTTGCACTCTTGTCTCCTGATGGATAAATCTTTTTTTAAAAAAAGCAAATAGAACAGGACTTTGTGATTTAGGAAGGCATCAGGATCTCATGAGACTTTATTATAGGAATTTCAGAAGCAGTGCCAAACTCAAGTCAGAATGGTGAGATTTATGAGCTCCTTACTTAAGCTGGAGTTGCTTCCTATTTTAAAAAACAAGGCCAAACACCTAAACATTTATCTTTCAGTGTTATCGCTACCTGAATTTTAGAATCAAATATACTAGTCTACTAACGTTTTTCTCCAAAACTAGCAGAGGGAATTTACCTTTTTAAGGCAAACAATTTTGGCATGTTCAGGAGGATATTTAACTGTTATATGACAACTAATTTCCCTTTACTGGAAACATGACCCCTTAATCTAAGTTTTTCCCCTGCCTTAGGGAAAATGATTGGGTTTAACACATTGTGACTGTTCTTCATAAAGTACAAGGCCTGTGGACTTTTTCAGAAGATAAACCTACTTCAAATGAAGTCGTGATTAAAGGTCATGATGGCCCATTAACCCTTTTAAGAAATGTGTAAAATACGTTCATGAGTCTATACATATGGTCGATGTGAGGCCACTGCTGCTACATTCCTAGCAAGATGCAAGGTGGAGTATCTTTAGAAGTTTTAGTTGTGCACATAAGCCGCAGTTGGCTTGCTTTCTCTTTGCCTCCACTCTGAAGGTCAACTGATACATTTTTTAATTATTCTTGAATTACTGAATTCTTTTTAGGATTCTTTATTCATTTGACAGAGAGAAAGACAGCACGCGCAGGGGGAGCGACATGCAGAGGGAGCGGGAGAAGCACGCTCCCCGCTGAGCAGGGAGCCCCATGCAGGGCTCGATCCCAGGACTCCGGGATCATGACCTGAGCTGAAGGCAGGCACTTAAACGGCTGAGCCACCCGGGCGCAACCTATTGAATTATTCTGGATGAACTCTTACCTAAATACTAAATGATCTCTACATAAAAAGACAGCTTGCTACCTCATCGTATAATTTTTCTAACAAACCATCAGTAATTTCTGGCCTGTGATTCAAGTAATATCTTCACCATAACTTTAAATAAGATTTGAGTTACTGGACTAAAGAAATGCTAATTAAGCCGCATTGTATCCTCGAAGTACCAAAAGACCCTGACGGTCTTGAGTTTACTGTAATGGAAAATGTTAAATTCCATCTACCAAAAAAGGGTAATGGACTTCTTAAAAAATGACAACAGTAAATATTTAAGAGATTTATTAAAGCATCTTATCACAAAGATGGAAACACATACAAATTAGAAACATGCAACCATCATCTTCCACGGTCAAGTTAAAAGGTTACGTATTTTCCGTTTCCATAGCTGAAAACTTCAGATCTTATATCCCAACTCACTCACCCCGAATATTTAAGTCATTCTTCCTGAAAGTATCCAGGGTAGCAAATAACCAAAATGCAAACTATTATATAAAGAAAGTGCAAAGTTAAAAAAGAAAATGTGTAGAGAATACCCCCATCCCACCCCCCAATAAAGGCAAACAATGGCACTTTGCTCTCGCTTAACCTAGATTGTCTCCAAAAACTATTAAAATGTATAGACTTAACGACAAAAAAAAAAAAACAAAAACAGACTTTGAATAGATGTCCAAAAAGCTTGTTAGTGTTTGAAAATAAATGCTTCAACAAAGGAAAATGAATTTTATATCAAACAAGTCTGAAGAGCCCTGTACTGCAGCATCTTGTACAATAAACGAGACAAAAAGCTGGTATAGGGTTTATTGACAAAGGCAGGATCTCCTCAGGCAGGTACGTAAGGAGGCGGCGGCTCCTTCTCGGGCAGCTTCACGGCCATTTCATAGGTTGGCAAAACATACTGAAGAGAGAAAAAAATTATACTGACTTAAAGCATCTTTACAATCCTACCTGGAATAATTCAGCTTTCAGATTTTAGCTGAGGAATTTGTGAGCTGAAAAGTTCCTGAGCGTAGAGAGGACTGGTAACGAGATGAGCTGTCTGAACCAAGACTGCTAAAGACAGAGGGATGGAGGGGAGAGGGGCAGAATTTTGCTTCTGAACAGACCCTGAAGCTACCAAGGACACCCTGACAGGAAAGGAAGTAGGTGGCACGGCTCTCTCCTCCCCCACCACAGCATGACTGACAAAGTACCAGTGCCTCAGGGTCTGCAAATCCAGGTTAAGGGCATCACAGAACTACACTAAAGGAAACTTCCTCCAGTAAGATGCTGGATCCTGGATTTCATCAGAATCTATAATCAAAAGATCAGGCCCTTCTATCATTTCTTCTAGGGTAAAGGGCACATCTATGTAGGAGTGACATTCCAACCCAAGTGTCTCCAAGTGTGACAGGCTGGCCCTATACGGGCCACATACATTCTATATGTTGAAAACTGGGAAAAGCTAATACAGCAACAACTAAAGGGCCCTTGAAGTAGGCCTCCCCACAGACTCACAGAACCCACTGTATTCATCTCCCCACAGAAAAACCAGCTTCCCCTTTTGATCATGCGCATGTTTTTTGAAAGCAACACAAGCTGCACGTGACGGTACCCCATCCTTAGAAGTTCCAGAAACCACGAGCCTGATATGGTTCACATGGCTGCTTCCTGTCTGATCTCCCCTGCAAATGCAACCATCCTAGAGACTCCCTAGGAGTGAAGCTGAACGAGCAGTCCATGAGGCCTCTCACCCACACACCCAGGTTTCCAAAGGGAAATGGTGAATCTTGCGGATGTAAGCTATCCATGCCCGAAACCATACATATGGCATTGACGAGGAAGTCAAGATCTAGGCTCTTGAGAATAATCAATAATGGCTACTGAAGATTTACTATATTAAAAAGGTCATTCACCTGCGGAGGTGCTTCAAAGGCAGGGTACACAGCAATCTCTGGCATGTTTCTGTTGTTAATATACTTATAGCAGTTCCAAACACAGTTGATTAGATACGCCTGAAAGAAGCAAACAAAATTTCCATATGCTAGAAACTCAACAGACTACCTGCTCTAAAATTAACGTGGCTTATGCTTTTCCCCACATGTGCTCCATGGAGAAGGGAACACACATCTATTTGAACTTAGCACAGGCCAGGCCCTTTCCCTACCTGCTCACACTTAAATATCGTCTTATTGATAGCATTTTACAGAGAAACCAGAACTAGGGTTTTAATTCAGGTCAGATAACCACTGTGCTGCAAAAGAAATTCTGTCTCCGAACCTTTGGAATTTTAACAGATTTTCAATCAAACCATTGATCTGTTGATCCAAAAACATGATGTTCCTTACACTTAGGAAGGATCCTGGAATTCCAACCACTCTCCGGAAACAAGAGGGAGGACATCCCCCAGAAGTTACCTTCACTACTATGTCAAAATAAACACTGTCCCCTAACAGTGAACTATAAGGAGAAAAGGCAACAAAAAGGTTTTAGACCAACTGTGTCACAGTCTAACTGGCTGCCCAAACATTTAGTCAGCAACTCACCTTAAAAATGATGAATAAGGCGAAGAACACGAGAACAATGAAGAGGAGACAGCTGGAGTCCAATGCCAGGAGGTCATCTTTGTAGGGAAAATCAGGCTATTAAAAAAGGCGGGGGGGGGGGAGGAAAGGTGAGCAGGCAGAGTAGAGAGGATTTTTAGGGCAGTGGAACTATTCTGTTTGATGCCACAGTGACTACTTTACACACTTGTCCAAACCTACAGAATGTACACCACAAGTGCACCCTCGAGTAAACTATGAACTCTGGGTGATAATGATGTGTCCACGCAGGCCCATCACTTGTAACAAATGGACCACTATGGTTTGGGATGTGGACAGTGCGGGAGGTGGGGGGGGGGTACTTTCCAATTCAGTTTTGCTGTTAACCTAAAACTGCTCTAAACCATGAAGTTTATTAATTAAACACACACACTCATCATTCAGCTATGGCACCTGCACTTCATGATAGTCTAGAGAGCATCTTAAAAGTACAAAGAAAAGGCACCGAAGTCAGAACTGATTTCCAATAAAAACTTATAAACAGAATTTAACTCATGGTACCTTTAAGCCTCATCATCATTAATGCATGCTACTGAACACTTAAAACACATTTGAATACTGCTGTCCAAAGAGAAGAGCTCATCCTCTACTTTTCACTATTCTACACCTTTCTGGCCTTTGGAAAACCGCTATCTCCTGTATACAACTGTAGATTTGTCCCTGAGTCACCAAGTCAGGAGGTGCTAAGACTTATCTAAGTTCCATGGGTCATTTAGTCCTATCTCGGGAAATTCATTTTTCTAAAAGCCAATCATCAATCTCAATGCTCATCAGAAAGGGGAAAAAGAAGGCACGCCCCTGGTTATAAAAACAGGCAAACCTCTGTGATTCACTGCAGACATACTACATTCTACTGCGAAGGGTCAACTTTATCTACTCAAATATTTATTTAGCATTTATCGTGTACAAGGCAATGAGCTGGGTTCCAGAAGGGCATTACGAAAGAATAATTAAGGATTTACAAGCTGGCCAATAGAGAAGGTACATGCCAGTCTGAGAGACCAAATGAATATAACAGAGGGGAGAAACCACTGGGGTCTGTAAAAGGAATAGCAAAAAAATTCTTTCTAATGTTCTCCTTTAAAGCTCATCTAATTTTTGAAAACATGTTTTTAATGGAAATGTCAACACAAAAGCCCAAATAATTTTTATAAAAAAGCAGCATGCAAAAATGCCAAAGGACCAAAAAAGAAAAAGAAGAAAGTACCCACGCACCAACTCCAAACCCTAGCTAAGTGTCTCCTTGGGACAAAACTGTTCTTTAAGCCTTCATTTATAAATAGAAAGACAAAAGCTGAATGGGACCGGTTCATGGGGGGAATGCTATAGCTTTTATTCAGGAGGTTTGCAATTTTTCAGCCAGACATGACAAGAGAGATCTAGAATGAGGAAACTTCCGACCACAGCCAACCCGGACACTAGGCCCTGCCCCCAGCTGCTTCTCTCCCACTCATCACTGCTGCTTTGCTTCCCTCCCTTAATCTATGTGCCAGCCACCACGATCACCTTATAGTCCTCTCACTACACATAGAATGTTCCTTCCCACCTCGATGGGTCTCTGTGACCTCTGCTTCTGTATCTTCCCTGTCTTAATTCCTACTCAGACTCTTGAGTACAATTCAAGTCTTGCTTCCCAGCCCACGTCTAACAATTCTGTGACATCCACTCGCGCAGCCTACACCTTTCCTTCACAGCTTTTTACCACAGTTTTAATGCAGTAATTGTCAATTTTCCAATTCCTTCACTAGCAAGCAAGTTCTACTGATGTATCCCAAGAATGCAGCAGTGTGCCTTGCACATAAGCAACCACCAAATGTTTTCTGAACGAATGATAAATTTGTGGTATGCAAGATGGACTAGGCAGGAAATCTGGAAGTGGGGAGAAAATTCCTAAAAGACAGCATTTTTGAAATGAACTTTTATTTTTCTGGACTCCATGCCTCATTCCAGACCTTACTCCAGCCCAGAAGGTTCCCTGCCGATTCATCATATAGCACTAATCTACTAAGCTCCACACTTAGTGGTGCATTGGACAGTTCCAGTTCGTTATCACAGATAACCTCTTAACTCCCCCAAACCATGGGCTGCTCCTCAGAGAGAGGAAAGCTATGTTTGTACCTACACTATTCACCAACGATTTGCCTCAAATAGAGTGAAGGATACAGTAAGCATTTAAGTATTAGCTATGGATGCCTACAAAGAAAAAAGGGGTTAGAGCAACAAGAGCATCCAGCATCTGTATGGAAGCAAGCTGTTGGGAGCGAAAGCGCACACCCCAGTGAGAGCGGCCCGCCCAGCTCCTTCCCTGAGAGCTCCTTCCTGGGAGCCCCGCCCAGCATCTCAGCATCCAGCCGCCAGAGGGGTGAACAGAGTCTCTGAGCATCCGTGCTTTACGGCACTTTATTTTGTGCATCCATTAGCAAGGTGTGCCCTCGGGTATCGGAAAAGACTAAGAAGATTTGTGGGGTCTGGGAATAAACATTTACAACATTTCAGCTTAAATAAGATTTCACAGGAATTCTCTACTTCTGAAGAGAGGGAGAAACCTCTAGAGCCAAACTATTATACTGCTAGTATACTGAAAACAAAAGTTGAACTACTCCTTACATTCTATGATATCCATCTTTAGAGACTTTTAACACTGGAATATTCAAATACTAGTTAGAGGATATTCTACCTGTATCTTACTGGTTTCAACATGGTAATTAAGAGAGGTAATAATTATTTTAAAACACTTTAAAAAAGTAGGTAGATTAAAATAAAATAAAAATAGTACCTAAAGCTAACTCAAAATTTCTATTTAAATATTTCACTTAAAATAAAGAAAAAAAGTTTAATTAGCATACACACTTACTAATTGATCCAGATACTCTTTGATTCTTGGCAAGTAAGTGAGAGAACTGATAGCAACCAGGCAACTGAGAACGAAGTCAAAAAGCCGGTAACAGAAGAATGGAATCAGCCAACCAACTTGATACTGAAGACAAAAAATAACAACCACAACATCACCACATAAATATGAAATTATTAAGTACCACTCAGTAAAGGTCAAACTCTAAAAGTCAAAAATATAGAATACTTACAGAAATTGCTCCATATACCAGCATTGAACTGATTATAAACATAAGAACAGAGACGGCAAAAAGAACACAGGCATTATCTAAGAAAACAAAAACAAAAATCTAATTAACCTACTTACATAACAAACATAACAAAAGAACAAAACTCTTCATGACAAAATGATGTTTTAAAGCTAGCTTAAAAAATGAGTATTTTCAAGACTGGCTATGAAAAAAATCTAAGACCAAGCGTGTTAAAAAAAAAAGTCTCAGCATTAAGTAATGACGTTTGATGAATTCATGCCTTTGTTTTTGTTTATTAAATTGGCTACAACTCACTGACTCTTTTATCATCAACCAGTCACTCAGCTAAAGAGACAGATCTCTGCCCAGAGTCTAAGAGTCTGAAGGTATGCAAACAGAGAATTATAATCCAATGTGGCAAAGTGCTACAACAGCAGCAGAAACACTTAGCTTTCCCGGGGGAATCAGGAAAAAAATACGAAATGACATAAGTTGGGTCTTGTGAGCAAAGCAGGGTTCCACAGGAAGGAAAAGTTGGTACTTGATTGAAAGACACAAATATATTTAATACAGAGCATTAGAGCTGCCCCCTGTGACCTCAGATAAAATACACACTCAGAAATTCAAGGTTCTCCATTAACCTCCTCTCCCTCATCCCACCATGTGAACTCGCTGCTCCCCATCCCCTCTCTTCACGATTTCTCTGATACTTTACAAGCCTTTTCTTTGTTCCCCACCTCCTTCTCAGGTTGTCCCCGTCCTCTACATTATCCAAGTTCATTGTCTCACCAAACACCAGAGTAATCTCAACAATATTAAGTCACACTTAACTTGAGTTTCTTAGCACAAATTTAAAGTTAATTCTTTGACTCTGGATAGAGGTTAAGAACCAGAAGGGCGCTAATAATGACGGATGTTTGAATAATTGCCAAACATGCCCACTATTAGATAAATGTCATGTACCATCTTGTCATTTGGCAGTCTAAATATCATCATCTGGCACTGTATTAGGTAAGAAAAGCCCTCTTTAAATTTTTCTAGAGGACAGAGAATATCCTCTAGATGCCCTATAGCAAAATACGGGAGAAATGGGATGACGGGTGAAAAATACATATATAATACCGAGAACAAGAGATGCTCCAGTATTTGTGAGTCAATAAAGCAAACAAAATATGAGGGCTAAATACCCAGATGTGAACCTCCGGTTTCCAGCCACCACCACATTTAAGAACCTTCTCCAGGGGGCCCCAAGTGTTCACCCATTACCAACATGAATATAAAGTTAAATTCATATTTGAAAAACAGCTTGTATATGTTCCAGAAGCATTTCATATATATTGAATGTCGTATTCTTTTAGCTGATTAAAAATAACTAACCATGAACCTTATTATTTAAAATCAGCCAGCAGGCCAGGGCATCTGGGTGGCTCAGATGGTTAAGTGTCTGCCTTAGGCTCAGGTCATAATCTCAGGGTCCTGGGATGGAGCCCCGCATTGGGCTCCCTGCTAAGCGGAGAGTCTGCTTCGCCCTCTCCCTCTGCCCCTCCCCCAGCTAGTGTGTGCGCTCTCTCTCCCTCTCTCAAATAATCTTGGGGCGCCTGGGTGGCTCAGTCGTTAAGCGTCTGCCTTCAGCTCAGGTCATGATCCCAGTGTCCTGGATGGAGCCCCGCGAGCCCTGCATCGAGCTCTCTGCTCAGCAGGAAGCCTGCTTCTCCCTCTCCCACTCCCCTGGCTTGTGTTTCCTCTCTCGCTTTCTGTCAAATAAATAATCTTTAAAAAAATAAAGGCTATAAAAAAATAAAGAAATAAAAATAAAATCCGCCAGCAGGCCAATGATCAGAACTTAATTCGCCATTTTAACACTGGGTCATGGGAAAATCAACTTTCCACCTGCAAAGAGACACACAAACTACCATATGACCAAGTACTATGCATTTTTATATTCTGTCAAGAACAGGGGCTTTGGCAGAATTATAATCAACACGAGTATGATAACGAATATATCTGACTCGCTCTACAGTAGGCACAGCGCTCACAGACCATTCAGGAAACCCGTGACTCCATCCCTGCAGCTCTAGCCAAGGCAGCCAGTTGTACAGACATACAAGAATGTCAATAACCATAAATCTTTTCCTACACCTTGATTTTAAGAGAAACACATGCTGACACTGCATGCTGAAAAAATGCTGACATCAGGTTTTGCATAATTTTACAGCCTAAGTACCAAAAATAGCCATTAAAAACTAACATTTTATTCATTATTGTATTTTGGTTTTTAAACAGAAATAGACTAACTCGGGAAGAAAAAACAAACACCAGGAGGGATGTTTCTAATAGGTTCTTGGTATCTCTTTTATCGCATTCAACAACAGAATTAAAGGACTGTCTATCTGAATAGACAATCAGTAGACTCATTTAAAAAGCACTTGAACACAGTTTAAACTGTTAGTGTTTTCATACTATAATGTCAACAGACGGCCACAAAACTCTACTTGAATCCTAGAAACAGCAGTTAGCCCTATGGACAGTGAGTGAATTATGTGAATTAACAACCAAATTTGTTTTAAAAACCACTTGATAAATTTATCAGAGAAGATCATAAATGTAATGAAGCTCAAGAATTTATAATAAAAGCTAATAAACCTAAAAATAACTTAGATCCTGTAACATTATAAATACACACGAGTACTCAGAACATTTTTCTGAAGTGAAATTTTAAACATGCAAAAAACTTTGCACTGCAAAGTTTGAGGCATAATTTTCTGTTCAAATATTAAATTTCTAACATTTATAAAATAAAATCTCTTTTATTTTTTATTTGAGAGAGAGAGAGATCATGAGCGGGGGGGTGGGTAGAGGAAGTAGCAGACTCCCCGCAGAGCAGGGAGCCAGATGCAGGACTTGATCCCAGGACCCTGGGATCACGACCAGAGACGAAGGGAAACACTTAATGGACTGAGCCACCCAGGTGCCCAATATAAAATCTTAACTAGAATCTTTCTGCACCTGTATTTCAGAGAAAGCTAGAGAATAAAAATGCTATCAGAGAATAAACAGGTTTAAAAAAGCAATTTCCATGAATGTCTTCTATTTTTAACTCCAACATCGTCTTCCTTCCTTCCTTCATCTAAATGATTGAAATATATTTAGAACTGTGACCCTCAGCAAAAAGTATCAGCAAATATTCCAATAATTCATATTTCCTATTTTCCTGTAAACCTATTTGCTCCCATCCTCAACTACACTTGCCAGCTGACCTTAAAGGCTTACAAGTCTTTTTGTAATTTCTTCTTCTCTTCTCTCCACAGCACTGACAAGAATCAAGGTATACAATGTACATTTCTCAAAAAATCTTCTGGTAGTCCGTAACATTTTCTGGCCCGAAGTGCTCAATTATAATCAGCAAGTAGAGTAACTTAAACAATTTAGTCAATCCTCTAAATAATCGGGGGGGGGGGGGGTGTGTGTGTGTGTGTGTGTGTGTGTGTAGCAGGAGGTACTTCCAACTAAAAACATACCAGCCATTCTCTCCGATGAATAGTAATTGCCAATGACTTCATACTGAATGTTGACAGCTGGCATGGAGTTTGGATGAGTTACTTCCACAGTCAGCAAAACTGCCATCAATAGGTTTACCACCTGTGAAAGATAAGATGTTATCCATTATATTATCAATCAGGAAAGTCTTCACCACAATCTTCAGAGGTCTTCCCATGTTTAACCTGTTTTACTTGCAGTAACAAAGACAGAAAACAGTAGCAGACTACCTATAGATAAAATATGCAATACCACTCTAAAAATAAGTATTTCTTAAAGTATAAACTTAAACGTGACTGAACCTATGTTAATAAATGGCCAAACAATTAAAAGGAATCATTACAAACTGTTTGTGTTCAGTCATGTATTTATTCATACACCAATCTCAGAATTCCTGGGCTTGAAGAAACTACAGTTCATCCAATACACTTATCCATCAGATATATATAATACCCATCAGTTAAGTAAATAGTGATCCATCAGATAAGCCTGACACTCCTCTACAATATGTCCTATCTAATGATAGAAAACTATTTCATTTCCTCTTAGGCCTGACTCAAATGCTTAAAAGACTTTCCAAGATTTTAACTAGCTCACTTTGACTTTCACCTACTGTCCTTAATTCTACCTTTCGAAATAATGTGCTCCCCTTTTTGAGTAAGTGCTCCTCTAACACCTAAGGGGAGCTGACACAGGCTGCCAAATAATCTTTTCTAGAATAAACATTCAGGTACTTCAATCACTTCTCTAATGGTTTAACACTGTCCAGCTACCTCGCTACCTCCTTTCTGCTCTCCTCTATACACACACTCCAGTTTGTTGGACATACCATGAAAATGAGGTAAGATCAGCCTGGTCAGAGCACACAGGGATCTCAGTTCCTACAGTCTAAGTTAACAAATTTCAACTAGCACAGCCTGAAATCATACTGGCTTCATAAATTTCTTGAATGTCGTGTGAGAGTAACTCCCACCCTTAATTATTTTTCACACTTGTTCCTGCTAAGCTACCACCTGAACCTGTACAGTTAGATTCAGAGGCCCAAGCATAAGCCCTTAAACATTTGCAATGGAATTTCACCGTATATATTCTTGCCTGTCAAGATGTTCTGGATCTAGATTCGGACACCCTACAGATTTCCTATCTCTTTCAGCTTTCAGCATTTGAAAATACTGCCAGCATGTAATCAGTATCTCCATCTCAGTCACTAGTAAAAGAGAGCTGGGCCAAGCACAGGAGGTGTCCAGAGGTTGTCCTCTTCCCATTAACCAGCAATCTTTGAATAAAATTCTTTACCACTTTCAGAGAAACATCTTGAGTCTTTGTCAAACTTCTTGCCGAAATTCCATCATCATATCTGGTGAATTTTCCTAATTTACCAAGGTTGTAACTCTATTTAAAGAAGAAATTATTTATGCCTCTAGTGGTTAGTGAATCCCTGCAGTATCCCAGGAGGCACCCCTTCCCTGAGGTGCTCAAAAACAGCCCCAGTAATGACTCAATACAGAAAACTACCTAGGACTGGGGTCAGGCTCCCCATCTAAAAGTTCACAGAACCTGTCCTCTTCCTTTTGTGAAAACCTGAATATTTGGTATTTTTAAGAAACATTAGAGCCTTATCATCAACAGCACTTTAAACAAACTGTTAGGTAGCTCGCTCCTGTTTGTCCTGAATGAAAAATAACAGTTTCTCAGCTGAAGGCACTTCACATTCTCTAAGACAAGCAACCCAAGGTTTATCATTCAATAAGATTAGGAGATCTAAACAACGTCACAGTATCAAATTCAGAATCAACTGACATTTACTGAGGATATACTATATACCAGGCATATTCACATATATTACTTCACTCATTCCTCACAACAACCTGGTGAAGAAAATATTACTAAAGCCCATTTGCAGACGAGAAAACTAAGTTTCAGCAAGTCAAATAACTTGTGGTAAGTTCACCAATATGGTAGAGGAGAAAGCTGGGATACAAACCTGTTTCTTTTTAGGACAACCTGCTTCAGAGCACCACATGATTACTTATACCCATTCCTAAGCAACTCCTGTTTTGAGGTCTCTCCAGAACAAACTATTATCTAAGGTTATGTTTATACTTTACTGTCCAAGCAAATATGTTCAGTAACATGCAATGCTCAAAAGCAAGGTACTTCATCCTCCACCTCCTGAAAGGTCTCACAAAGGACAATCATATTTGCAAGGGTGGCTCCCTGGTTGAAGCCTGATTTTTTCCATTTTCATTGCAATGGGTTTTGGCTACCGTGTGTGTATGAGTAGTTCATCCAACTAGGCGAATTAATTACTGAGCAATTAGATATATCTACCGAAAACTTATAGATTCTGTGTAAGAAAATCAGTCTGAAATCAATTCAGCAAATTATTCTTTGCTAACCACAATATAGTCATAGTTAAAAAAGCTCTGCACAGTACAGAAAAAAACATTCTCATATCAAGAAAAACACACAAACTCAATGACTAAATGAAGGAAATGACACAACCAAAAATATTTAGGAGTTTAATTTTCCCTTCCTAAATATTTTTATTGCACGTAGGACTTATAACATCTATTTTCTCTTACAGGGCGCCTGGGTGGCTCAGTTGGTTAAGCGACTGCCTTCGGCTCGGGTCATGATCCTGGAGTCCCGGGATCGAGTCCCGCATCGGGCTCCCTGCTCGGCGGGGAGTCTGCTTCTCCCTCTGACCCTCTTCCCTCTCATGCTTTCTATCTCTCATTCTCTCTCTCTCTCAAATAAATAAATAAAATCTATTTTCTCTTACATGGATAAGCCACACACTCATCCACTATTATCTTCTTGTAGTATTAGTGACAATTCAAATTTCATTTCACTGTCACAACCCTGAGTATTAAACAAAAATCCTAGCTCTAATCAAAAGGACCAAAAAATGAAAAAATAAATTGCAGTGTTACTTCTTTAAAGCTCACACAATTTGAATCTTCACTGAGTTAATTATATTCCATTAGATCACTGTATTTCATTAGAACTTCAACTTATATTTTAAAGTATTAACCTGGAAAATCCATCCTTGTGACCTTAAACTGAGCACCCATCCTGTGCTCCTATTTAGGTCCTGTGCTATTTACTCTTGATTAGAGTCGATATTTCTACTAAGTTCCACAGAGCATTTAAAAAAATCAATTTTACAGCCTTACAATATAAAATTTCTGATATAAAATTTCTCTGAAAAGAGCAAGTATGTACAATTTCAGAATCTTTATTCCCAATTGATTTTTTTTCCTTTTATTTATTCAGGAAATAAAACAAAAATGTAATTACAATAATGATTAACTTCTAAACCTCACAATATGGAGGTACAGAATACAGTAAATATGTCAATGGCATGGACTATGGACATACCATTCAATGTGGAAGGAGTCCTGTAAATTTATTGGGTCAAATATGGTTTGCATTATTTCTGCAAGCCTTTCGTACACCTTGTATAAGTAAACAATTACAAAAACCAGATGTGTAGATTTTACTTGTTACAAAGGAACAGTTATCAGACCCATGAAGTACTCAGCCTCCAGAAAGGAATTCCTCTTTGCTTCCTCATCTCACTGCCACACCCATCCCAGAACATTCTCTGGGAGCTGGTTTTTGTTTTAAATCATTATTCTTTAGGTTCCCACGGTATATTCTGCCACAACCCAGTATCTGCTGAGACTATAATTAAAACAATGTACGTGCTTCGGGGCATCCTGATAAGGGTCTCACAGGCAGACAGGCTCCACTGAGAGCGACTCAGTGAAGCACTCTCAGCAGGTAAAGATCAAAATAGCCAATCTCTAAAAATTGTTAAATGTTTCACACACATATAAACTTCCTGTTGTTTACTGGTACGGGCAGTTACAAATGAGTTATTCCTACTACTTTTGGGAGGAGACAATTAATTTTACAAATGTCTAATGAATACTTCAAATGTTAATTAACAAGCTAGCTACTACACACATTTTATAGAGTAAGACCTATCATCTTTTTCCCTCAAGGAGAACATCTTGTGGGGGAGAAAAATAAAAAGATAATCATTAGTAATCGTGTAATAAGTACTATTTAATAAGCACATACAAGTGGTATGTAGAAACTTTTCCAGGTACACAGTGAGGAAATCAGATATCTCTGGCTGGGAAACAAGAAAAGCTTCACCAAGAAAACATCTGAGCTAACCATTAAAAAATTAAACGGAATTGGCAAAATGTTGTTAGCAGTCACAGTTGGGTGATGAGTAAATGCGAGATGTTAATACTATCTCGCTATTCTTTGTATTTGACATTTTCTTTAATAAAGTTTTTAAAAAGTGACTTGGGGGGAGAAGAGATAGCACATAAAAGTACTGAGGCACACACAAAAAAAAGTGTTTGAGGAAGAATATTAACTTTGAAATATAAACAAGCTTTACTCTTATTTAAAGAAACCAGGAATGAGGGCTGGAAAGGAATAGAGCTTGAGGAAAGCTGTCTTCACTTCTCTCCCAGCTATAAACTCCAGATTGTTTATGTCTGAGACATTCATGAAAAATTAGCCATATATTGTCTTTCCAAGACCTAAAATTATTACACTCAAAATGTATTCTTGTAACAACATCAACCATGAATGAGGACAGTCCTATAGCCCACTTGTACGCCTATTTTCAATTATTCAATGAACATTTGAACTTATACTATGTAACAAACTTGTCTGAAATCATCTGGCTAAATAACAGAGAAAACAATTTTAGGAATGCCAGAATTTAAACTAGAGCTCATTCTGAAAATTCTGTATCATTTAACCAGGGATTATGCTTCTTTCCAAACTAAAACGCCAAAAGCTAACACTTCAGGGCTGGTACCTCTCTGGTGCATAAAACTGGCTCCAGCTTCCCTGTGTCCTACTGCACTACTTAATACCAAAGAATACTTTAAGAATACAGTGTTAGTATTGCCTCAACACTAGACCAGTTGTCAGAAAGCAATGACACTGTATCAGATTGACTGACTGATACAGTGTCTTGGCCCAGCAGGAGGGAGGGCTGCCCCCATCATCCCAGGTTTCAAACAACACAGAGGCAATCTAAAGAGGATCCTAAATATCCTCCCACCTAAAATTGAGGAAGAGAGGAAGAGGGAAGTGGCATTCTACCTCTCTCAATCCCTTATTACTTCTTAGTAAAGAAGTTTCCAGCAACAAAATACACTGTTTGGACAAGTCCTCTTTGTTTAGAAGTATTATACTACACTTTCGTGAGGTGGTCTTGTTCTCTAAAAGGTTACATGCCTTCCCAATTGGCAGAAATTGTGGGGTTTTTTTTTTATATTGCTGTGGTACTAAAACTACACTTTTGAAAGTCACCAACAAAACCAATGGCCTTTTCCCAGTCCTTCATCCAATTAGAATCTGATTGTTACTGATCACCTTCTCCTCTTGTCACTGTACCGTTTCATTTTCGTATATGGGCTCTAAAAATCTCTAATACCGTATCTTAAGGGCAGATACCACTTTCAAGACAAGAAACATCTGAGAGCCATTGTGTGGCAGGTAATAGAAATACAAAAGATAACAACAAATGGTCCCTGTAATGTATTCTTTTTATATGTCCACTAAGCCTTTTACATGGCAAATGATCAGTAAATCCCTTATATAAGACAGATTAATTGATTTTAGCAGCTTATAGTGTTCTGCTAACCCAAAAGTCCATGCAACGGAAGAACAGCCAAGGCCTCCTTCTAAAATTGTGAAAACTGAAGCAGGGAAAAAGGGAGAGATGTAAAATGTTTTCACATCAAGTGCCTCCAGTGGAGAATAAATGCCCTTACTAAAGTTCTTTTCCCTGCGTTTTGGGTTTTGCTGTATATAACTCGTATTTTTCCCTGCTATTCCTTTCATTTTTATGAGCAGAGCCCACAGCATCAAAAAAAAAAAAAAAAAATCTGCCTAGAAAAGACTGGAAAGAAATACAGCCAATTATATTCAGATGGTTGAAACTGGGATGGTGGTTATTTCCTTCTTGAGAAGGAGTTAGAAATCCTTTGTTCTGTGAAAGGAGAGAAGGATCTGAGAAGAAACAGGAAGATTAGGTTTGCAGGCAAGAATCCTGGCTGATGGACACAATTTCTCAGTTCAGTAGGAGGGGAGGTCATCTTCTCGAGATGAGGGAGGCAGGATCGAGTAAGAGGCTTGAGGACCCTAAAGATTTGAATGATTCATTTAGGGGAATAGAAGGCAAAACTAAGGACAAACAAAAGAAACTGAAGACCCAGATCCTTAGCAAAATGGAGAAGAGATAAAAGGAAGTTAGAAATACAATGTTATTGCCATTAACTGACTAATGTCTAATATTACAAATCAGCTAAAATATAAAACGAGAATTTTTGAGGAGAAATCTGATATAATTATACCAATTATATCAATAAGATACCAATTAAAATCTGTATATAATTATACAGAAAATACTAAAATAAACGTAGAAACAAGCAAATAAGCCTACACATTCAAGTTTTGTTGTTTTTAATGTACACCAATAAAGCAAAACAGGGCGGTCAGAAATAATCCCTGGTCAGAAGTGGTCCCCTGGGGGTCGGCCATGAAACAGTATCTGCCTAACTAAGATTCTTCTCATCTGGTGTTTGTTCAAATGGTAATGATTTCAAGGCACTGGGTAAGGAAGTAATGGTAACAGAGAAAGGCAAAAAGAATGTGATAAAGCTTTTCCTTTTTTGTTTTTTGTAGTTCACGCAAGTTAACAGAAACCATACAGTATCACTAATGCCACAACCCTCCAAACCAAAACCACCCCACAAAAACAAATTACAAAGTCACTAGTGAAAGCAGCCAATCAAGTCAACAATATGAGAAGTTTGTCAAAGCTTCAGTAAAGTCATTATTATAGCCTAAAGCTATGCCAACTGTCATAAATTAGCTTCAATGTGTAGGGATACTGGAGATGGTGGTAAGAAATCACAGAAGTATTACTGGTGAACCGCCAATCAATAACACCGTCAACTTGGTTATGACATAGAATTACACAGATCTTGGAACCCAGGAAATGCCAGTACATGTGGCCAGAATAGAGAAGGCTCTCAATAAAAGTCTCTTAAAAAATGGAATAAAAAGCGTCTAATGAGCAGGGGATAGTTGCACCAGGAAAAGGCAGATCGAGTGTAAATCCTGGCAAAAAGCTATGGCCTCCGAGAGACTCCAGATTTACAACAGAGGCCTTTCAGCCTACATCACAAACACACTGTAACAAATAAAGTCCAGGAACAACAGGCAACTGCGTTACAGCTGGATCTTTCGATTTCCTTTCAGGTAAGACAAAACCGAAACTCGGCTGCATTTCTCAAGGTCCACTCCTAATTGTTTTGTAGGGAAAAAAACTCCGGGGAACATAGGTGGAAGAGTATTCTTTCTGATCACGGAAGTACAAAAAGGACCGAAATCAGGTAGTTTCCAGAACTTCCCACCAAATCCCAGTATCCTCATCCCTCCCACCTACTCCTATTCTCCATGCCCCCCTCGCCCGCCCACAACGCCCCCTCTTCTCCCCACCCCGATTTTCTCCTCTAATTGGAGCCGAGGAACAATCTCCCCATTCCTACCCACCCCCACTCCGATTCCTGGCCACAGTCCCCTCCCTCAAAGTTACAGCACCCTAAAAAGAGGCTCCCTTATGCCTTCTCGCCCCACCCAACACCCCATTTTCTCTCCCACCCCCTCCCAGTGAACACTCCCTTCATTTCAGACCTGGCTCCCCCACTTCCCGCTCAGGCGCATTCCCCTGGGCCCCAACCCTCCAGCCCCGCCCGCCCTTACCATGTACCAGGTCCCCAAGATGATCGTCCCGGTGCGGACATGGCAACAGCCGCAGCACCGGGTGCTGTAGAACCGGTCGCTGCGGCTCCGTTTGAAAGTCATGGACACCATCGGGAATCTCACAACCTTCGTTCTAGGATGTGCCCCTGACAAACGCTTTCCGCCCAGAGGTCCAACCCAGATTGCTCTGCCACAGTCTCCAAAATCAAACGACGCGTCTTCTGGCCCGCCCCCGGCCCGGGCCCCAGCCAGCCTCTCCGCACCTGCGCATTGAGTGCCGAGAGCCGCTCTCGCGCGACCTCGGTTCACCCCCCTCTTCCCCAACTTCCCCTCCCACAGGCCAATGGAAGAGCGGAAAGCGGGGTGGACTCGGCCCCTGATTGGAAAAACTTGGGAGATTGACAAGACGTCACGCCCAATCAGAAGTGCGAGTCCCTTTAGCGCTAAAGGATCCCCGCCTCTCACGCGAGGGCAAGGACTGGCTCGAAGGCCTAGAAAGGTTCGGGGTAACCTGGTAGTTTACCATCCCTGGGACTAGAGCGGCAAGAAAAGGGGCATTTAATGCGTAGAGGCAGAGACGAGATAGGTTGGTGGCAGAAAACGGGCACGAAGGACTTTTATTGAGTGACGTCTCTGCCACGTACTGCTTCGGAGGCGTCACGGGACTGCGACTGCTCACGTGACCTTTGCGCGCAGCTCGATTATTTGGTTGGCCGGGGGCGGTGCCGGGGGGAAGGGGCGGGGCTAATCCGCGTCCGGGGGCCTTCATCACTTCGGGAGAGGAAACTGGGGGCTTGTCGGAGGAGATAGGCTTAGGTTTCCTCACTCCCTCGCTCTAACGGGCTTTTTGGTGGGAGCAAAGAAATAACACCTAACTCAGGCAACTAAGAGGCAAGAGGATTGAGGAAAACAGAAGCAAGATAAAGTGGAAGAACTGCCTGGTTGCTGGGTTTATGCAGATACGAGTGAGCTTTACTGGGAAAAATTGTGAAGCTCATTAAAATGGACCGAAAGACTACTGGGTGCCTTCAGTGAAAAACCAGCCATAGTCTAACACACCTTTCTGGGTATCCTGATTTTATATGGGCTGTCCACCTTTCTTTGTAGAACTCTGTACAGCTCTGTTGTAGGTAACTACTAGCAAGAGGAAATACGCCTGTCCATTGAACTTGACATTGAATCTTACCGCTCCTCAGAAAAAGGCATTTTGCGTCTATTTGCAAATTCGTCTTCCATTCACAATTTAACAATATGAGTACTTTGAACCCTCCTTTTAAACTGGTTCTGATGTTACTTGTTTCCTCATTGAGTAAATAAAATATCTGACACGTGTTCATTTTGTATTTGTACGAGACTTAAGGCTTTTACCTTTTTAAAAAAATACGTGGTTTGGGCTCCTGGGTGGCTCAGATGGTTGGGCGTCTGCTTTCAGCTCAGGTCATGATCCCGGGGTTCTGGGATCGAGTCCCGCATCGGGCTCCCTGCTCCTTGGGGAGCTTGCTTCTCCCTCTGTCTCTCTCCGTCTGTCTCACATGAATAAATAAATAAAATCTTTTAAAAAAAAATACATGGTTTAACTCTTTGGCAAGTACATTTTCTTTTAGGGAATAGAAAGGCCTTCCTCCCTGGCAAGTATATTCTTAGATGGAGACCCCAGTGGATTCAGAGTAAAGCTTAGTGCACTGACACGGCTTCAGTTAACACTGCTTGAAGTTACATGTTGATTTGTTGATTATTTCGCCACTAAAATGTTAATACTAGAAGAGCAGAGACTTTGTTTACTTCTGCAACATTGAAAGAATTGTCCATGGACGATTATCCTAGTTTGGATAATACTTCCAAACTATCTGGGAGGCCATAGTTAAGTCAGGCTACCCTGAAAGATGGAGTGGAGTGGAAGCAATTTAACTCATAATGAATTATGACATTTCTCCGCTTTAGACTACAGTAACACTCCCCTCCCCAGCCCCCCACAGTAACACTCCCCTCCCCAGCCCCCCCAAAAATTACATAGACCTCACTGTGTTCCATGCTTGGATCCAATCACTTAATTCTTTCAACAATATAAGGCAGGTACTTTTACATTATTTAATGACACAGAGAAGTTAAGTTACATGTCCAAGATTACAAGGCCAGTATGTGGAGAAATTGGAACCCTCATACATTGCTGGTGAGAATGTAAAATGGTGCATCTGTTGTGAAAAAGTTTTGACAGTTTTTCAAAAATTTAAACATAGAGGCGTTGTAAGATCCAGCAATTCCATTCCTACATGTATGAAGAGAATCAAGTGCACACAAAACCTCATCACAAATGTTCATAGTGGCATTACTTACATAGGAAAAAATGGAAACAATCCAAATGTCCATTAATCAAGGAATGGAAAAATAAAATGTAGTATATCCATACTAATGGGATATAGTTCAGCAATAAAAAGGAATGATACATGATGTACCTCAAAAATATTATGCTAAGTGAAGGAAGGCAGTCACAGACCACATATCGTATAAGACATTTTTATGAAATCTCCAGAAGAGTCAAATCTATATGTAGATAGTAGATTAGTGGCTGCCAGTGGATGGAGTTGGTGGGGGACAGAAGGTGAATGCTAAAGGGGTTGGAGTTTCTTTTTCTTTTCTTTTTTTTTTTTTTTTTTTTTTTTTAATGTAGTTTCTTTTTCAGTGTTGGAAGTGTTCTCTTTTTCGTGATGAAAATGTTCTACAATTAGGTTGTGGTGATGGTGGCACAACTCTACATATACTAAAAGCCATTAAAAAATTGTACACTTTCAGTGAAATGTGTGGGTATGTGAATTATATCTCAATAAACTGCTAGAGGTGGGGTGGAGGAGGGGACTGGCTACTGGGGAGAAATGGAAGGGTCAAACAGGAGAAGGAATTACACTGACGTGGAAAACTATGAAACAAACACCAAAACTCTCAATAGATCAGATAAACTCTTGATCGAGTCATTTTAAGAGAAAATTAATGAATCAGAAGATTGCACTGACAAAGAAACCCAGAACTCAGCACAGAGAGACAAAGAGATAAAATATGAGCAGTGACGACATGGAAGGTAGATAAAAAGGCTATACAAGCAGATTCCAATTCTTCAGCTGTAAAACTCCCACCCCAACTGATATTTCATTATATTTTAATTTGACCTTTCACACCATAATTTACAGTTAAAATGTGTTCTTCTATATTATCCTTCTCTATCAACTTTCATCATAGCACTCTTAAAGATAATTTTTAAAGACTTCTACCAAGGAGAGTCTGTCAATAAAAGCATTTATAGCAGATGAACAGATCTATAATACAGTATATTCATTAGACCTTTTAAAAAAAATACATGGTTTGGGCTCCTGGGTGGCTCAGATGGTTGGGCGTCTGCTTTCCAAGAAATAAGAGGATTAGTTAAAAATCAATTTAAAGCCCCATTACTCCTCATTAAATTGTTTCATCAGGTGTGAGGCAGCTGGAAAATGTTAGTCTTTCCCCCATCCCCTTCAATGAAGCAAAAATTGTTTTGACTGAAAAACACTCCTTAATAAAATAAAATAATAAAAATAAAAGAACCCAGTTGCTTTCCTTTAATGTTCTATTGAAATGTTTCAAAAAGCACTTCCTTTGTTCAAAAGACATCCTTAACCGTCTTCTCAAATGGTTCTTTCCTTTGAATTCTTGATGTCATGTTCATTTCTTAAAAGTCTGACTTGGCGTATTTCATGGTTGTGTTGAAATGTTTGCCTTTTAATCACACGGGATGGTGGCCCCAAAACAAACACAACTACCTTATGGAAACAACTTAGCAACCTGCCCAAAGTCTGTTTGATAGAATTGTTATTTCCCTGTACGTTAGTAGGGATAGTACTCAATGTATTTCTTTTTTTTTTTTTTTTAAGATTTTAGTTTTAAGTAATCTCTACACCCAACATGGGGCCCAAACTTATAATCCCAAGATCAAAAGTTGCCTGCTCTACTGACTGAACCAGCCAGGAACCCCTCAATGAATTTCTTATATACCTGAAAGAAGCTTAACGGAGAGAAGAAAACTGGAATTTTTTATTTCTGCTTCACAGAATATTAGAAGTCAATAGAACATGTAAGCTGTATTATAAATCAATTGATTTCCTTGCCACCCCAAAATTGAGTTTTAGTATAAATAACAGTACCAAAGAAAATGAATAAACTAAGGGCAACAGTGAAAGATAATCTATAGCAAATTGAATATCTTTGCTATCTAAATATATTCTAGAAATTCATAAGTAAAAGATCACAGCAGAAACAGATAAACGGGCAAAGGATATGAATGGACAATTCACAACCAGTGACAAAATTTCCTAAGAAATGTACAGGAAAATGATAAATCAAAGAATTGAAATATAAATGAAATATTATTCCCCTCCCTTTATTAAAGGAATATAACTTGAAAAGATAATATCCTGATCTGATGATATCATGAAATTAATACTTTTGTACATAACTGGTGAGACTGTAAATTGGCACAACCATTTTGGAAAAGTCTTTGATAGTATGTATTAAGAGCCACAATAAATTCACCTTCTCTAACCTAGTGATGCCATTTCTAAAAATCAATTCTTAAAGTCTAAAAAATGAGAAATGATCTGCACAGGGACATCTTTTATCATCCTTTATCATTGTTTATAATAGAAAAATTTAGAAACAACCTAAATGACCAGTGATAATTTAGTAAATTATGGTACACCTATATGATGAGATACTCTAATGTTTTTAAAATTGTGAAACAAAGTATTTATGATATAATGTTAAGTGAAAAGAGAACACAAAATTGTCTATACTGTGTTTACAGCAATACTAAACACAAACCAAAAGTAAATATATCAAAATGAACACTTGTTGTTAAGCTGGTAGAAATTATGGGTTTATGATATTCCTTTTATCTAATTTCCAGCGAATGAGTAAGTGTGTGTGTGTGTGTGTTTGTGTGTGTGTGTGTGTGTTGAAAAAGTTCATTTTATTTATTTTTTTGAAAGATTTTTATTTATTTATTTGTTTTAAAGAGAGACGGGCCGGAGGGCGGTGTGCATGGAGGAGCAGAGAGGGAGAAAGAGGAAAAAGAATTCCAAGCAAACTCCTCACTGAGCACAGAGCCGGATCTCACGATCATGACCTGAGCCAAAACCAAGAGTTGGATGTTTAACCAACTGAGCCACCCAGGCACCCTGAAAAAGTTCGTTTCGTAATAAAATATCAGGCAACCTTAAAATACACTAAATTCTTACCCAGGATCTAAATCAGTAGAAAGAACAAGTTATAGGATGTTTTAAAAGAAATACAGCTTTATTCCTTTCTAAGACATAACTGATGAATAGGTAAGCTTAATTGTGATCAGCA